TTATTTCAAATTAACTTTTGACAAGCATTTTTATTTTGCTTATTTTGATTGCAGTTTGTATGTTTTTTGCTGCGATTGAAAGCATCTTTAAGAAAATTAAAAATATAATTTTTCTCGTCGTTTTATGAATTATTAAGTATTTGTTTTTTTAAAATCAGTTTGTGAAATTAAATATTTAATATACATTTATATTTACAGTAATTTAAACATAAAGTTTGCAGCACTAAACTCCACTTCAGTTAATGAATATATTCGTCATTTATTTACTAATATATTTCATGCACAGCCATAACAAAATATCTTAGTAATAACAAGTATTAATTGGAAATCTGAAATTGAAGTAATAATTCTTAAGTTGCTAAAACTAAAATTTGGTAGAATTCTATCATTAATAAAGTAATAATGCAATACATATCAATTAAATCAAGTAAAATTCAAAGCAAGTTTTTTTTGAATTTTGCCAATTTTTAGTTTAAGGTAGATTAAAAGGTTAAAGGCCTTTATGCTAATTTTTGCTAGCTATATTGATCTTTAATCGATCAATCTTTTTTTTATTTTGCAACCTTTTAATTTTACGAAAAAAAGTAAAGTCAGAAGTATAGTACCGTATGACTTTTTTTTTAATTTGGTGATTATTTTTGATAATATTGCATAAATTAATATAAATCCCTTTTTTCCAATTTTTCTTTCATTTGAAAATCGTATTTCGTTGTGAAAAGTTTTCCTCAAAAAGACTTTTTAGTTTTTGCATTAAAAATTAATAATCAAATGTGCTTATTTTAATTGTTTATTTTTGTAATTTGTGTACAAAATGCTTGTCAACTTGTTAATCTACTCCACATCATTTTACTTTTGATCTATTTTTTCCCGCACTTTTGTTTTGATTATGATTTGTTTTGATTAACTTTTGTCTCACCTTTATAAATTTGCTTGCTTGTTTTTTTTTTTGTCATCTTTTCTGATCAAACCAACTGATCTGATTGGTATACCTTAAAGGGAAATGAATAAAAGAGTGTAAATCCAAAATTGACTTATAAAAGCATAGACTCTTTGATCTCTACTTTATTTTGATTGACAGTGCTAAGATGATCTGTAATCATAACAAAGTATTTGAATTATATTTATTCTTAGTTATCCTTTATTGATTGCAAAATTTTAAAAAAAAATTAACATATCTTCATTTATTGATTGATGTGAAGAATAACTTATTGATGATTAAAATTTTGAAAATTAAAATGAAAATGTCATTCTTTTGAATGAAAATATAAAAGCAAGTTTTCAATCAGAACTTTGAAATTACTTTGAATGTGAAAGAAACTGTGAATTTGCAAAGAGAATAAAAACAACTTTCAAAATTCAAAAACAAAACAATTTAAAAGATTTTTGCAATTAGCAAAAGATTATCTTTTAAATTTTTCGATCTTTTTTTTAAATTAAAAAATACTGAATTTCAACATTTGAAATATGGAATTATAATACTGAAAATCTGAATTTTGTAGCACAGCCGTGAAATGCAAACTTCAAAATGTGATAAACTTTTAAAGTTGAAGTAGAAGGTGAAATAAAGTTTAATTTGAATTCCTGATACTATTTAGCATGTTCGATACAGTATGATCATGATATCCTGGTATTATTAGCATGATCGATATAGTCTCTGATATCAGTCTTACTGTATCCACAAATTGAGTCCAGTGTAAATCCCAAAGATTTTATTTTTAAATGTTTTTTAATTCCAATAATTTTTACTGTATAATCGAAAGTTTTTGTTTTTAATCGTTGTTCAGTTTTTGTGCAATTTTTTTTGTTGCGAAAATTTCTTCCTTTCTGTATCAAACTATTGCTTCAAATTGATTTGCTTTATTTGCTCATTACAAATTTATGTATACGTCTATATGTACACACGTACAAACGTACACACATATACACGTGTGTGTGGACAGTTTATAGTTTCACAAAAATGAGATATCGATTTGACAAACGTGTCATTTTCATTACAACAATTTGATTGGTAGTCATATTATAAGAGGTTGGGCTAGTTTGAATGAAACAGACAAATACTCACAAAATTGATAAAATAAGTAATGTATGTGATTGTATGTTAATTCATGTCTAAATATGGGGTATATGTTTGTATGATATGTTTATGCATGTCTATCAACACATTGAAATGTCTAAATAACTTTTCATTCAAAATTAAAATGAATTATTGGTGAAATATAACGAAAAAGTAGTATAAAATGAATAAATGCGATGTTATTTGCAAAATGTTCTTCTTCTATCTTTTTTGTTACTCTTTTTCTCTAATGATCAATTTTTGCATGTTTTCTATTAACTTTTCTATTTCTTTCGCTAATAATTTGTTCATAAACATACCGTAACTTTTCTTTGCAATTACTTTTTTTCTCTCTCTTTTCCACTGCCTCTCTATCATTCTCACCTGATTGATGGCATTCTTTCAGTTTATCTTTCTTGCAAACGCCATATTAGTACTAATGCTGGTATAACTATATGCTTTTAAATAAAGCCACTTTTCAAGTCTAATTTATTTAATTAAAGTATTAAACTTTAATAGTTTATTATTTTGATAGTTTGATTTAACAAGATAAAGTGTAAGTATGAAAAGAAAAAGGAGATAAAAGGAAATGAATGTGTTTGATCGAGGCTGAGCCTGATTATACTGCCAGCTTAGAAGTATCACTGAGTTAGTTAGGCCCTTTAAATCGGGTAGATCATCCTGATTACTACTGCTGCGATATATTTAACTTGCATCGATGAGCGGATCAACAAGATCAGTGAGTCATTCTAGAAAATAGATCGGTTCATGCATACCTTACCATTATAGACAGATTTAGCCTCATGTTGAGATGTTTAAATCTGATAAAAATGTTAAGTTAAATAATAAATCTAATTTCAATAAAGCTGTTTATTATGAGTCATTACAAAAGATAGTTGAAAATTCCAAGGATCAAGAAGGGTGAACTGCTACTTTGGTAAAATTTTTTCCTACTTTGGGTTTTCTGTTTCTACAGTAATATCAAATTCTGCTTTTTTCAAGTAAATTTTTAGACGTACTTTCTTTGGTAAGCCTGTTTAATCTACTTTTTAACTTTTAAGAAACTTATGATCACAAAAACCTGTGCAAAGACATCATTACCAATGTCTTTGAATAGGTTGAGGTTACTTTTTGGCTTATAAGTATGTTTTGATAACGGATAATATAGATAATCAGGGATAGGCCAAAAAAGTTACTAGGATTAGCTGTAGTTTTTCTCGGATTATTGTATTTCAACAACTCATAAGGTGTTGATTATTTTTTGATTATTTGACATTTTCTGGTTGCTTCTTTCAACATTTTGTTTAATGAGCGAAATTTTTTTAACAGCAATAAATAAAGGGTGATTGATTTGCTTTTATTTTACAGTAGTGGTAGTAATATGAATTTGATTTTAAACCAATCTATAAAGAAAATACATGAAAATATACTTAGAGTCAAATACTTATGCAGCGTCCACAAATAAAATTAATTTAATGACCTTCATTCTAATTTCTTGAAGAGCGATAACTTATTATTTATAGTCACTTAACTACAGTAATGCTTTGTGCATGAAGATGAGATTACGTTAGAAAAAAATGAATTGATTTAACTGACCTTGAATGAGTCTGGCTATCGAATAGATGAAAAGCTGTATTCGGTAACTTTATTAAAGTACAGTTACTTGTGTACTTCATATATTTTGTGGTGTGAAACTTGAATTCCCTGTTATAACAATTATTATTCTGATAAAATATTATTATTACCAGTTTCCCTAATTAACGTCATTTAAGTCCGTACAGTACTGCGTTCAAATTAGCTGACTTCTATGTTTTTTTAAATAAAAAATTACTTTATCTGAAATTTACAGTGTTGATCATGACGCATTAAAAGTTTTACAATGTAATTTATGAATACTTTTTTTTAGCAGCTTGAATAGTAATTATTTACTTCAACTAAATTGCTTAGTACAATCTATGCTTATTGTTAATATAATTGTTACTAATTTTACAATTATTATTATCACGTTTAATGATATAAATAAAGGATCTTTTAAATAATTGCTATCTGTTGGCGCTTTACAAAAATCAATAGCTGAATAGATTATTTATGAGGCATGTCAACAATGTCATACAATAATCGCAGCCTCTCTTTGATCAAACCAATTATATGCTGAAGTATAATGAGGTCATTACGACGAGACTATTAATTGATATTCCAAAATGAAGTACTGTATAGTTCCAAAAATAGTACGAAATAGTAAAAATTCCCAATTTAGAATGTTCATCTTTTGATTAATAATTGATTGAATCATTAAATCAACAAGCTGTTAAAAAAGCACTGAATTATTTGATCATCAATGATGTTGTTATTGAAAATGATTAACAATTCTATATAAAATTTTATGTACTAAGAAAGGAAAATGAGATGAAAATTAGCTTATAAAGATTGATTACTATGAAGTTATCTGCAAGTTTTCATCATTGATTCACAAAATTAATATTTCACGAAAAATAAAAATCCTTAATACCTTTTTTTCTGTAGAGATTACTGTATGACATTGCTTTTAGATACATACAAGTTGAGATAATTTTGAGACAATCGAGACAAAAATTTTTTTCAGCTTAAAAATGCTATGAAAGTGATTGTATTTGATTTAAATTAAAACGAATAGCATTACAGTCACTTTGAATTAAAAAATGCTCTCACTGACCTTTAAAAGGTTATACAAGAAACATTTTATGGATGTAGTAAAAATTCTAGAAATTATTGTTATTTAAAATAGCATTCTGAGAATTATTGAAAATAAAGAAATTAATCAAGGTAAAAAAGGTTACTGTAATCTACGAACTATTGCAATTTAAGAGATATGATTCAAAATATTTTGCTTTCGTATTCTCTTTCGTGCAAAATATTAATCAATAATTACCTTGATATTCACTAAATTCTCAGTAATATTCATAGGTTAATGTCGTATATTCCAACAGTAAGTGTGACAAGTGCCGCCGCTGCGGCAAATATGAGTTCCGCGGCAAATATGGCGGCTGCGGCATACTTTAAAAATGGTCCTTATGCAGCTGCACCGCACATGTCTGGTGCTGCACTTGGATTTACCACAGCTCCAGCGCATAATTTTTTGCCTGGTGGTATGGGTTATATTGGGAATTCTCTGGCGGATTGTCAAACTGCTGGTATTACTGCTTGGAATGCAACTCAAGCGGCTAGGTTGCTTTTGATCATTAATAATTGTTTTTTAAAAAAACCAAAAAACAAATTAAATGAATTTTGAAAATTAAAATGATTTAATTAAGCAAGAAACGTGTTAACTTATTAAAAGAAACTATGATAAGTAAAAAGTTCTCATGTATTTTTCATTTAAGATTATTAAAATCTGGATAATTCATAGCAGTTTAATAATGAATAATATCCATAAAAAGATTTATTCAGTTAAAACCTGTAGACTTTTTATCATTTAGCATTATCTTACGAATGCTAGCGAAGTTCAGAATTCATGTAAGATTATGGTAGATTGGTGTTTAATTATGATTGTTATTAAAAACTAATTCACAATATACAGTACTATCCATCATTTAATATTTGCAGAAAACTAGTTTTTATCGTATTTGCTTCCTTTTGATTTAAATCTTCTTTTGCATAAAGTTGGCAATATCTTCAACAGCAATTTATTTCTTCAAATCCGCGCAGTGATTTGTCAATAATTTTAACATATTTTATTATTAATCTTCATTTATCAATAACAAATATTTTGATAAGTCTTGATATAAAGCCTGTCTAAATTAAACTTAAGATTGTGATTAAAATTAAAAAAGTGAATTAATTTGATAACATACGGAATTAATTAATTGATTAATTATAATTAAGTTGAATTACTGCATTAAAAATTAAAAAGGAACTACGAAAAAGAAGATTATATTTATAAAGACTGAAATAGAATCATAATTCTTGAAAAAGATTCAGCAAAATCGTAAATGAGTTATACAGCATTTTTATTGTAATTCAAATCTAATCTTAACATCAGTAATTAGCTAAACTTTTCAAAAAAAAGTTCCATATAAATACTTGTTTGAATATTACAGAAAACAGCGCCGTGAACGTACAACTTTTACTCGAATACAGTTAGAAGTTTTGGAAAATTATTTTTCTAAAACACGTTATCCGGATATATTCATTCGTGAAGAAATTTCTTTAAAAATTCAACTTCCTGAATCACGTGTTCAAGTAATTTTATAGCTCAAGTTCAATAAAAATTTGAAGTTTGCTAATTTTTTTATTGTTTTTTAATAATCTTGCTTTGAACAAATTTGACGTTAAAATTTCCTAATCAATGATTATGACATTTTGTCAAATTAAAATGCGTGTTGCGTAAATGTCACGCAAAAAATTGAAAGTCAAGAATGATTGAGTCATCAAAATCTGAGATAAAAACTGTAAAAAAAATAATTGGATTTTTTTGAAAACTTGAAAATTCTTCAAATTTTATTTCATTCATTCTTGTGGATAATTTTTTTAGGTATGGTTTAAAAATCGACGTGCTAAGGCACGTCAACAAAAGAAAGCAACAAAACATGAAGTGACATCAAACGTGGTTTCAGCGTGTAATACAGACGGAAGTTCATGCAGTAAAGCAACTTCTGCGGATATTCGAAATGCTAGCAGTTGTAATGTTGAAGTATGTAACAATACACAAAAATTAATAATGAAAAAAAATGTTCTTAAAAAAGTGATTTTAAAAAATTAAATAATTAATCAGGAAATGATTTTCGTTTATTGGGAATAAATTAGCTTACTTTTTCCTGATTGGTAATTATTTAAAAACCAAGTGTTATTTCAGGTAAAAACCGAAGAGTCTAATGAACAGGGTGTATCTGAACAAAGGAATTCACCACTTGATATCGATTCGTCAAAACTTACTGTGATACCTACACCTTACTTTGGCACCATACCACCATCAACAGCTTACGCATCTCAAGCTACTTTCCCCCAGGGATATGGTAGGAGATCAGATTTCTTCCTGAATAGTAACAGTAAGTCCTGTCAGTAACGAACAGTTTGATTATATATATAAATAATGAATTATAAAACTAAATATAGTAATAAAAAAAATGTTACGATCATAAAATTGATAAACAATATATGGTAAGGAAAAGATTTTTAATGAATTTTTTCAAAGGAATATTGAAGATGCACTAAAATTTTATCGAATAATCTACCATAAACCAAAAGAGTAAGGCTTTAAGATTTCTAAAAGAAAATTATCATAAAAAGTAGCCTGTAGTCTTGTTATGAGAAATTAAATTAAGATTAATTTTTCCGGCACTTCTGCGTCAATTTTTGTAGGTATAAAACATACATGATTCTATATCAGCATCAGTATTTACAGGCTACGGTGGCTATCAAGCTACAGTACCAACACCAATGGAATATTTTCAGTATCCTACCGGTGCAGCAACGTATGCAGCAGCTGCCGATCCATGGAAATTCATGAATCAGTGATAGTGATAAAGTAAACAATAATAATATTAATGATCTGATAATAAGCTTTCGTTCTTATCATCTGTGATTGGCATCTGAAATTCCCAAAATTGCTTTCTTTTGTTGTCAATTTTTTCAATTTGTAACTTCTCTGTATAAATTGTAATCTTCTATTACAGTATCTTCTTCAATTATACTTACTTTATTTTATTATCTATAATCAAGGTTTAAAAACATATCCTCATATTTATAACTGACCGGTGAAAAATAAAATTTGCTCTGATTATATTTATAAAAAATAGTTTTGAAAAATATGATGCAATTTTTATTGAAACTTAAGTACTCAAATATTTATCTTAGTTAAAAATTTCCACAAAGATCAGCTTACATCTTATCGCTAAATATGTGCAATTTTTTCATTTTTGCTTAATAGAATATTTTATTCAAAAAATTGATTGAAATTTGATTTAAAATTTTGATCAGTAATAATTTCTTTCTAAATTTTCACATCAATTATTTAAAATAAATTATTTTACATAATTTTGATAATTAAAAATATTCAATTCCAATAATATATACACTTTCATTTGTTATCATTGCAATTAATATTCTTTGGAATTTTTACTTAATAAATGAAAAAATGCTCGGGTTTGTGCAATAATCAATCTTCTACTTTAATTATATTCAAAAAGTAATTGAAAAATAGCAAATTAAATGTGACTATAAGTTAATTATCAAAAATAAGATATTTAAGAAATTTTTTAAAACAGTAGTTAGCCCTAAAATTTTATCAACCGAATAATAATTTAGGAAAAAATGTTCAAATATATTTAATATATTTATTTAGTTATTACAGTATCATCAGCATTGTTAGTGCTTTGTGCTATTCTTTTCAGGGTAGTGTAGAAATGTTAATGAATTTTTGTAGCATTTTTTATTGAAACATTTTAAAAAATTTTTTTATATTCAATATATTTTAATACTATAATAATTAAAGCACTTACAGTGCTGATGATACTATGATAATTAAATCTGATTGTCAAAATTTTCTTGCCTACTAAAAAAGATAAACAATTTATCTTTTTTAGTAGGCAAGAAAAGTAAAAGGCTAGTCTTGAAATGTAGGCTAGTCTAAAAATGTAGGCTAGTCTAAAAATATAGTTTAATTTTTGTAGCACTTTTTTCGAAGAATCTGTAATCATCAAATATCATCATTTTTGACTAGCAATCCAACATTAACTACTTTTAAATCTCGTTGTTTCCTATCATTTTTGACTGTATTACATTAATATTATTATTATACTGTGGAAAAATATTGAATATTTTCATGTATTCTTCATTAACTTTAATTTTTAGTGCTATTTTAATTAAAGAGAAATTGTATTATGCGTAATTACAGTAATTGTTTGGTATCTACTACACATTTTTAAATGCAATAATTTGATAATTTGAATTTCCGGTATATCTGAATAGAACACAGTTTACAGATAACAAATCTGAGGACTTTTTGAATTTATTTATCAAATTATGTCTAAAATATAATTGTTAAATAAAATGACGTGTATAATTTGGTACTTAATAATTTCAAAATTTTGATCATATTTAGCTATTAATTTCTAATGAATCAAATACTGCATACGGATTGTTCTACAAAAGTCAAAATTTTACAGATCAAACTTCACACATTGTTGAAAAAAAAATACCGTAAGTCAAATTTAAAATGTTACAAGTCATACACTGAATAAATATTACTATAAATAATAAAACATAAAACCAACCAATAAGTGCCAGGACATACATATATGGCGAAAATTAAAACTAACCTCCACATCTTATTTATTCTGTAATGAAACATAATGAGAAAAGTTCTGTACTTCAGCAAGTAAGTTATTAGCTTATATACAATTTTGTAAGTAATCTTTGCTAAATGTAAGTTTCTCACTTCAGAATAATCTTTTCGAGATATAGCAAATAATGAATTTATTCAATGCAAATTTTTCTTCGAGGACTTAAATACTTTTTGAATAAAAGTAAATTTGAGATTGTAATTTGTTCAGTGTTTTCATTAATACATTATTGAAAAGGTCGGTTTCTTATCGAGACCAATGGAACCTATGACATTTGCGGTTGCTGCGATGGCATTCGCAGCATTTTATTTTTATTCCACAAGGGTAAAATAGCTTATTTAAAAATTTGTTTTTATTATATTTTGTAGTTTATATTACAGTATTGTAATAATCTTCAGTGATATATTTTTTGATGAACAGTTATTGTAATAAATAAATTTATTGGTACAATAATTCATCTTCGTAATTTGATCGTAAAATTTATTAATTGATCAAACTGCGCTATATTAAAACAATACTAATTATTGCATTATGATTTTCGAAAAAGTAATTACAGTAATTAATATGAGCATTTTGAACAATTTCAGCCAGCTTGTAGAGAAGCGATTAATAATTGGACTGCGACAACACTACAATCTAATCTAAGCCAAAAGAAAGAACTTCCAGTGGCTGAGGTATTCATCGATGTTTTTTTTAGTAACCTAGACTAATTTATTTTAATATTGATTAACTTACTTTAAATACCACTTGTAATCTACAATTTTCTTCTGATTATTCCAAATTTACGTAGATATAAAAAATCATAAGACTTAATCATTCATAATAATTAGTAATAAATTTATTACGATAAGTATATCTTCCATAATTGTTTTGATAACTTTATTATTAAGTACAGACACAAAGGTTGAGTGTTGTGGAGCCTCATCCAGATGCATTGCAAGCAGCAACTGCCGCAGAAATGTTTGGAACCCAAAAAAAGGTTAAAAATAATAAAAAATAAAAATCTAAAATAGAAAAAAAATTATTTTTTATTCACATAAGTGCAAAATTTACTTTCAATATCAATTTACAAAAGTAAATAATTGAAAATATCATTCATAAAAATTCTGATTTACGTGTTTTTCTCTTTTTTTAATATTTTTGTAAAAAAGTAATAACTTTCTTAATTGATTTAAAAGTTGTGAAAATTAAAAAAATTTAAATTCAATACGTATTTGATTACGAATATCACTTTTATTTTATTAATAAATTACTGCTTATATTCATTTGTTACTTTAATAAAAATTTTTGGCATATATTGGTAAATTATTTTTAAATACGAAAATTTCAGAAGATATTTGCTAAAAAGATTTCAGATAGTTTAATGTCATGTTAGCTTTGTAGAAAAAAAGAAAACTTCATGATCTTATAAGCAAGTAAACTTCAAAGTTTTCAATCATTAATAAATTTAAAAATTGCGCATTTCAAATGAGATATTCATAATTTGGTCTCAAATCATATTATATATTTTTGAATTTAGCAACCTGGTGAGGAATTACCTCCAGGTGCTTCTGGTACTACTGGATATACAAATCAAAAACAGGATGATGAAGAAAAGGCAGCAACAGAGAATGAGGGACAACCTGCTGCTGGAGGTGAAGGTGCCCCTGATGACAAGTAATCAATAATCATACATTACCACTTCTTACGTTATTAACAGCAAATCAATAGTATATATTTTAGTATTAAAGCTTATCAATAATGCATAGTGCAGTAAATTACTAAAATTAGTCAGTATTGCATTATTAATTATTAAGTTCAGTTTAGTGCTTAAATTCTTAGTTGCATATTTTAGTGGCAAAAAAAAGAAGAAGAAAAGATCAAAACGTAAAAAGAGTAGCAGACGAAAGAGAAAAAGCCGAAGAAGTAATTTTTGTTATTAAATAAAAATAAATAAATTTGAATTTTTCGAAAATGGTCAGGCTTGAACTTTGAACTTTTAGGTGAAGATGATGCAGAAGGAGGAGAAGAGAAGAAAAAGAAAAAGAAGAAGAAGAAAAGTTAGTAGCAAATTTCATTTTTACAACTTAATTAAAAAAGTTTAATAAGTTGTATTCTTTCTCTCAATTTATTATATTATTCTTATTATTAATATTTATTATTCTTATTATTAAGATAATTAAGATGTCCCAAGTAAAGGCAGTGACCTCAGGCCAATAACTTCTTAGTATTATTAAATTTGTTTTAAATCTCGCAATTTAATTTCATATTTGTTTTATTTACTTTGCTTATATTACAAATACTCTGAACAATTAATACCATTAACTTTTAGGTAAAGTATTGGATGAACCACCACAGGATGAACAATGAGGCAAATATTTGGTCAAATGTATTAAAACATAACTTCTTACTGAGGTATAGAAATGGAATTTAAGTAAAAAATTAAGTATTCCAGTTCATATAAGTGATTAGATTATAATATAGCTGTGATGACCCCAAAAAAATCACGTTTCTATCAATCGACTTTATGCAAATGACGATACTACTGGAACTGAACATACTTTCACTAAAACTGTCATTTTTCATTTTCTGACCCCTTTTATCTCTGTACTTACCTCAAATCATCTCACTGATACTATTACTTAAATCCTTGTATATGCACAATATGTTTGACCACCAAATGACCACTACGACTGATGCTTGAACTTGATGATAAAGTTCTTACTGACATCAGTGTTATTACATTTGAAGCAATTCGGCTATATTCATTAACAAGAAATAATCAAAATACACTACTGAATTTTGATTGAAAGACCTTTGACCCAGTCTGGAAATCTGAAAATGAAAATGCTTAAAAAATTAATAATACAATTATATTCAACTATAATGCATAGAATTCATGATCAAAAATTCAGTAAATAAGGTCAGTGAATAAGGTTTGTCATTGACATTCCACCAGTAATGACCTACCAATTTCTGTTCGCAAAAACAGTATAATCTAAAAAAAATAAATCCCCTGATCATAAATAAATCTCTCCCACATAAGTTTTGCTCCTTACTTGATTGCAAAAAGAATTTACTTTAGCTTTAATAACTTTTGAAACCTGTTATCACTATTAAAAAATTGTTATCACTATCTCGAGAGTTTCACGCTTGCTGAAGTTAATTTTACACCAAAAAATGCCTAAATACTAATAAAGAACTGTAAATAAAATTACAACCTTTGAACTCAGATTTTAATTCAATTAATTATTATAGAGAACTATCTAAAATAACTATTTTCAATCTTTTTAGGAAGAAAAAAATGACCAGTTAGATATATGCCGAAGATAATTGATATTTATCAAATAATAATACAAAAATAGAGTATACTGTGTAATAAATATATATTTAACCAAGTATCTAATTGATGAGATGTAATATGTATCTTACATGATTAATTTTTCAATCACACATACCGTAAACGAAGGATGCTATCAAGAGAACATACTGCATGTCACTGATAAGGTACATTGCTGAGAAACAAACACTTAACTTTATAAGAATTTATTTTAAGAATCTTAAATAAGCCTTGGAATCTAATATATACAATAAATACAAAATTTTAATGCCATTAAAAATATAATTAAAATTTTGTTCAACAAAACAAATAGCAAATAATATAGAATATCTGAAAGAATAATTTTTTATCATATTTCTGTAAAATAATAATTTTTTTTGGACAAAGATTAAAACATTTATAAAGTATTATGTTCCGTCTAATATCTAACGAAAAGCACTGAATAAGATTCATATTACAGTGCTTAGCATAGGTGAAGAAGCTTCTAAACCGTGAGTCTCAAACAGAATATCTCTCACTTTCATTTTGATCAAACGTTTTAGTATTTCTGATAACTCGTTTATTGTTATTTCATTTCTTCCTTCGAATTTACAGTACTCCAACATGTCTGTTTCACGTATCATACGATTTTGTACAAATATCCGAAGGCTCTGTAATATTTTCATCATATGATTTGAAATTAAATAATAATTACTTAAAATTTTTAAACTTGAGCACTTAAAACTTAATTGGTATAAAAAATTAAGGCATTCCTACGGTAATTTGATTGTGATTCACAAGAAGTTAAAAAAAAGATTCGCATCACAACCTTATTAGCGATATCAATTGGTACACTTCGATTACCCGCTGCAATGCGCAACTTTCTCCAAGTACTAACAGGATTCTTGTAAACTGATTCGATATTATCACTGATCCACTTGAATGCATCCTTAATATTTGAAATAAAAATAACTTTCAGAAATAATGCATGTTAAATTGTTAAGCAAATCTTTTCAATAACCTTATTGACCTTTTCAATGACCTTATTAAATCTTCCTAATGAAATTTATAGCTACTAGTCATTCAGACATAATTTTTGAAAAGATTTAGCAAAAATTTTCACAAGTAAGTCATAATTAAATAAAGATCAATAAACTTGAATATAAACAGCAAAACTATTTCCGAAGTAATCAATAACCAATTCATAATATGTAAGAGGTCGGGAATTAGTAAAATATTTTTTGATATTATCCAGACGTTCAATGGTGAGCGATGTATTCTGGATTTTTAAGCAAATCTCTTCAGTGACCTCATCAATGTCACTTCTTTTTGCTTTTCTACAAAACTCACAATCAATCATTTATTATTTACACAGAAATATTGAAATTAATAATATTAATTAATTAATATAGTAACAATTACTCATCCAATCTATGCTTTAAATATACCTTTTGATATTTTTCTTCTGATATATTTTAAGCATTTTTCTCGTCAAAAGATATATTTAAAGCATAGACTGGATGAGTAATTGTTAAAAAAGTGATTAGAAATTGAGTTACATTAGTAAATTATATTAAAAAGTCATTAACATGCATGGAATAGATAATTACTATATTAATTAATCATTACTGATTGAAGTCAATGTAATGAAGAGAAAAATCTTTTTCATTGATAGTTTTTTTTGTTTTGTTTTCTAAAATTTCAATCGACAATATATGCATAAACAGTATGAAAACCAATATGCATTTATTTAAAGAATAATATTATGGTATTTGATATTGTCAAAAAATATTGAAAAATTATTGATGTTCACACAAATCTCAGCCATCAATCAATAATCAATAACCCTCAGAAAAATCCATGCATACATTTGTACTTATATAAGCGTACTTTAAACTATAAAATTACTATTTTTAATTAGTTATTTTTGATTAATAATTAATATTTTGTCTTATATGCATTTCAATGAAACGGTCCCTCCTCTACCATTCTCGTTCATCGATATTTCAATGCTGAAGACATTGCCTCAAGCCAAACAGTGGCAGAAAGTAAAAAGCATAGCAGCAGCAGCATGAAAGAAAAAGAAATGGACGCAACGCAACGAAAGAAAAAGTCAACACTTGTGCTGGTAATTGAAAGGACTTTATCGTAGGGTTAAAGGTTAAGACATTTTAGCAATGTAACAATGCTCGCGATATTTTAACTAATATTACTATTTTTTCTCATCTTCATAGTATAGCATACTGTTATGACACTATGCTTGGATATGCTAATTATATTCCGTACTAGTGCTTCTACTTACATACGTACGTACGTACGTACATATGCGTAAACATAAATTAGGAAAGTTTAAAAATTGTCAAATAAATACATTTTATATTCCATACAGTTTTGAGTGTGTTTGTAAATTACATTTAAAGTTAGTAAATTTTAAATAAAACTTTAGGCATAAAAAATGATAATAAATACGTTTAAGAATGACGTAAAATTACTTGGGAACTGTTAGTGGACTTGCTGGTAGACTTGATCGTAGTATCGTTGAAGACAAATTTTTCTAAAAATAAACAAAGTATTTAAATTATTATTAATACTTTATTATAACTACAGTTGTGTCATTAACTTGTACACAAACTTAAATGAAGAAGACCTTGTTTGCGTCAGTAGTGATCATTTCTGGAACCTCACATGATACCTCATCAGTACCTGATGTCAGAGCTGTAAAGCTTGTACTTATTTAATTAAATGACCATTTATTGTGTAGAGATAAAATAATTTGGCTACAATAAAGGCACTTAACACTTATCTGACCAAAACTTGACCTCATAATTTACTCCATAACTCACAGTCTTTTACTCAAAAGTAAAAGTTTCTTAGGCATGGCAAAACCATAATTAGACCAGAAACATTACCAATTTCATTCTTTGGCTAATTAGTAAGCACTTTTTAAAATTAATTTATTTTTAAATCGATAATGCTAATTGATATTCAAATATAAGTTTTTATAACTGTTGTTGCTATATTGGATTATTTATGTCTGTGATTCTGAATTTTGAATTTTATTAAGGAATTTATTATTATATTTGGACTTGTTTGGCATTCAATAAGGATTAATATTTTGAAAAATTTTATGGAATATCAGAACGAAAAACTATAAATAAGTAAGCGAGTAGTTAGGTAAATAATTATCAAGTCTGCCTTTATTGCTGATGTAATGTTGATAGATCATACTGATAAATAACAAGTAATTTTTTGCATAAAGTTAGATCATACTGTAAAGTAAAGTAAAGTAAAGTACAGTAAGCATTATTTTTTTAATGAGAAAAATAATACTTTTCTACTCAGCTACCTAGACTGATTAGTAATTTAAACTGAATAAGTTACACTGTAGCACCAGCTTTTTTCTAGATCAGATCGAAAAAGATGTCTTGCTAGCGATAGCTTTGAGTATTGGATTTGATAAATATTTTAAATACACAAAAAATACTCTGTCAGCGATTGATAGTTACGGCAAATAATCAGTACGTCAGGATTTGACAGCCAAACTTCTTTGATAAAATTTATTCTTAACACTGATAATACGTAAACTGTTCAAAAATAACGTCTTTTTATCATTTAATTTGATCACTTAATTCTTATCTCGTCTAATTTTTATATCTGACATATCCTTTTTTAACTTAATATTTATCTTGTAAATAGAAATCATACTTGCGCTCACTGTTTTCGAATGTGTACTTCCTCGTGACTTTCGTTTTGATGTCTGAATACTGGATGTAAACTTTTGAAGTAACTCACCACCTCTACTCACAGTATGATAATATACAGTAATTTACAAACAATTAATTTTTCAATATTTGTTACTGTATAACAACATATAGTAACTCACCAGCATTTTATCTTTTCATTACTAACTCTGAAGTTTTAAGTGAAAATACGTTTCCATTACTTAGAACTAAAATTCATGTTTAGGTATAAGTGGAATATTTACCATATTTACCTTAGATTTCGGTTCAAGTCCTGCAAAAATTTATTAATTAGTAAAATTGAAATTAATTTATAGATAAATTCACTTTGTGATCAATCAGAGATTATCCATAAACTACTCAGCTTTCTTATTCAAGCGTATACAAAACTCTATGAAAAATACAACGCTACGGTTTGCATTCATCCTCTAATCCTCGTTATAATCAACTAGATCAAGTAAACGACTTACCTGTTGATTTGACTTGAGACGGTGTTCCACCTGTTTTTTCTACCTTATTTCTTGACTAAAAAAATTTGAAACTTTACTCAAAGTATTGGAATTATTCTTTCTTGGATTCAACTAAAATAAAATTAGATCGAAAACAATTACACGTTTACCATAGAAATCAGATTACACATAACAGTAAGTAGTCAGAAAATAGTCACTTCAACTTTCTAGTAACTTTTTGTAGTCAATTATGACAGATTAAACTTTCTCTTCTCCATTCTTGTTCTAATTTCATTCTAAACCTAAATAACGTGTCCTCCAACGAAATTTTCAAAAATGAGATGGAACTTTTTTAATTAATATTTTGCGTCATTACCACGAAATCTCAGATTTTTATTATTCCTTTTTTGAGTTGTCTTTCTTTTTTTGATAAATTAATATTTGTACACTTTCTAAATTAAACTTTGTTATAATAATGCGAATATATGCAATAATTTCTTAGCGGCGTAATCTTTAAGCAACAACAAATTCCATACATTTGCATATTTTAAAATTATCATATTCTGTATCAAAAAAAAAAGCCACTAACTGACTTTTCCCGCTTTTCACGTGCCTGAGTTGGGGTGTCTAAAATTAAATCATTACTAAAAGTAAATACAATAGTCAGAAACAGAACTTAAGTTTAAGACCTGAAATGTAAATATTTCTTCTAGGCTCAGATATAAAATCCAAGACCAAAATTTTTTCTAAAATAAAGAAACTCTATATTAATTACTTGATGTGCTCAATTATTAGCTGATAAGCACAATTTAGTTAGAACACCACAGCATAAATCAAAAAACTGTGCTAGGTCCCAATATCTTAAATAACCTTATACTTTAACCAGCCCTGAAACGTTTATTATAGTTTTAAACTACAGTGTGTACTCAATATAATGTATCCACTGTAATGTATCTCATTTACAAATGGAATCTTTGAGAGAAGCTAACGTTGGCTTTTACTATTTCTGGAGTTTCTCTTAGGATCACTTTTAGGTCTTCTCATCCTCCATATTCTAGGCCTTTTCTTAGGTGCACTCACAAGTGACCGAATTCGTTTCTTCAGTACTGACTGCCTACTTCTTCGTTCTAGAATAATAACAGACCTACATTATACTTACTAATGAATCGACAATACATTCTACTTGGTCATTTCGTTTACGACCATAGCGTCATAGAAATAATACTTCCAAGTGGAAGTTACATTTGAAAATCCAACAAATTCCATAAACCACTAACTTCTTTTATTTTTCTTCGCCATACACAAAATGACACAACTATGCTTCGAATGAAAGATATGCAATGCAAAAGAAGTAACAAAATGCAATATTTAAATTTATGTTAACATGCCATTTGACTAATTTTAATAATTTATTCAATTTCTGGTAACAATATTAGTCAAGATCACGCGAAAAATTATTGGATACTATTTTCAATAAATAAAAAATGCATGTACATAGGTCATATAACATCATACAACAATTTACAAACTGTGAACGGTAAACACTATACACTTCTTACACATCGCGTTTATCACTGAAGTTCACATTTATGGGATTAGAATATTTGCGAGATTTTTTGGCTGGTAAAGGTAAACATATGCCGTTTTCAGCAAGTGTTTCAGCTTCACTCATGGCAGCGCGATCACTTGCTGATAGAAATTTAACCTAAAATACCACTTTAGGAAATCAGAAAAGATTCAAAACCGAAGGATTTTGAAAAGTACGAAAAACAGTAATTTGAGAAACTTCTAGCTTCTTGGAAAATTGTCTTATTATTTAATTTTGGACAAAATAAAGAAAGATTTACTTTTATATTTTTACATAAATCCACAATTCTTAAATACTGGTCGTGATATCTTACATACGAGCCATTGGTTTTGATCCATTGACGTGAATGATGAACCAGAAACGAAGTGCAGTCAGTGCGAAGAATAATGCTGGAATAGTTTTGATCTATAGCCTGAAAATGCAGTTTTCAGATGATAAGATTTCATCTTTATAGATTATGTTACCAATATGTGAAATAGCATGAAAATTTGAAAACATTTGAGAAAATATATCGATATAAAATATAAAATTAGTCATAATCACCTGCTGAAGAGCTTCAATGATAGCTTGTAGCTGACACCGAACTAAAGTAATCGGATAAAATGTATATCGCTTGCCGGTTCCCATTTCATGACAGTATGGCCAATAGACACCAATGCCTGCTTCGACATATTTCTTTTCATTTACTACTTTGCTATGTAAAACACCACACGTATAAACAACAGGAGTACTTTTTGAAATTCTGAAACAAATTGACCACTACAACTTAAACTAATAAGTAGTATTAAAAATAATTTAATATCCAAGCAAAACGTCAACAATTGAAGAATTTTTAAACTTACGAATTAGTAGTAGAGGATCCTACTGACAGTCCCTGTGCAACTGAGCCTGAAATTCTGCACACATATTAAATTTTTTACAGAAATAAGGGATCAATATTACTTGTCCACTTGAAGTTTAATTCAAAAAACAGCGAAATGCGAGATGGATAAAAATATGACTACAAGTAAACACGGAAGAATTGACCAACAAATACACTAAAAAGTCTTGTTACCGCATACCGACCTACTGAAGCACAAATTTTCCATGGATTTATATTATCAAAAATTTCGATTTAACGTAAGGAATTGTGTACCTTTTTCTGGTTTTCCTTGCTTTTGAATAGTTAAATCCTTCACTGGTGAAGCAACTACACTGATATCACTTGCTGAAAGTCCTGCAGTTATGTTCCCAAATGGCATTTTGCCTGATACATTCTCATAAAATATTTTAACTGTTTCATCAATAGAAGAACTATATTCTAATGTTGCCTGAAAAAATTACATTAAATTTTGCTTAAATATTCAGAAGATTGACCAGAAGATTGTTTTTTTTATAGTTCCTGTTATACAGTGACAAAATAACAGAATTGAATTTATTAAGTGCAGTTTGATTAATCGTCTTAATAAGAAGCAGGTTAGATTTGCAATAAAATGATTAAAATTTATACAATAATTGAATTTGAGGAAATGATAAAAAATATACATCAATCATATGCAACAAGCGGTACAAATCTGCGGCTTCTGTAGCAGAAAACATGAAAAACATCCATTTTCGTCGCATAAATTCATCCAGATTCCAGCACAAAGACGTATTACCAAAATGCTTACAGACAAATTTCGAATTCGTAATGACACGCACGCGAGGTAAATACATGTTAAATATTGCCTACAAAGTAGTATTCACAAATAACCAGTAATAATCAAGTGGTACCCAATTTCTGTAATTCACTGACTATATTTTGTTAAGTATTTCCGACACATGAATATACCGAATAAAAAGCTGATTATAACAAGTTTTACACTTTCCGCAAGTGTAATCAACAAATAGACTAAGAAATCATACCTGTTTTAGGGCTAAACAAACGGCTCCTATTTCTGCATTTGTCTTCGTCTTACATGGATAGTCCTGAATCTACATTTAGTACATTAAAATTGTAAAACTTTATTGTGATTACAATTTTTTATATTGAATATATTGTTATAAATTAAATATCAATACATTTGTTCAAACTTCCTCTTCCTTGTTTTTTTTAAAAGCAAACTACTAGTATATCCAATAATCGCTACATTTGAAACAGCAATTTTCAATTCTTAACAGTAGGAAAAATATGCATCTACAGGATTTAAAACACAACTTCATGTATACTAATGATATTAAATCACAATATTCAACATAGATCATGCCTTAAATCGATTGTACTTGCTGCGATCATTCCAATATACAGCAATATGGTTTTTTGATGAACCATCATCAGCTACAAATGTGAACGCTTTGACAACTGGAACACTAAAAACATGCCTAAAGGAAGCAGAATTTCTCAGCAGTGCAGTCTAATAAAGCCTATGATCAAATTATACCTAAACTTACATGGAGATAAGCAAAAAAAATTTAAAATAAGTAAAAATTCTCCAATGTTCAGTTTTTAAATCATTCAAGTATAGGACTTATGCTTATAAGGCACGAAGTTTTTCATCACACCTAGAAGTGCTAACAAATATTGAAATATTTTTTGTGAATATCTGTCTAAAAAATTTGACGCTGAACTTGAACGCAAATCAGAATAGAGATAAAAACTGATTACTTATGATCTAAAAGGCCTAAATGATAAGAACAAAAAATAAACAAACAAGTACTTGGAAATTTCATGCAAACATGCAAAATTTCTAAAAATACTGCTCCTAAGTATTATCATTTATAACTGATAACGCTTGCTATCAAATTATCGCTAAATTTTGATCTCGAAAAAAATAACAACTTGTAAACAAGGCACAAAGTTTTGATTTTAAAAATTATGCCAGAAAACAGCTAAAATGTCGAATTACAAAACTTGTGAACTTGTAATACCTTTTCCAATCATTTGTTCCTTCAATAGAAGTTACGGAATTACCAAGTAATTTTGAAGATACATTGTTACCGAAATATCGAAACTGCACGTACCGCTGCAGACAATTTCTATACAAAACGTGAAACGTTCGCTTGCTCACTACTGGAAATACACTGACAACAATGTGACAGGATTTTAAACCATCCAACAAGCGTGAAAATGAAGTAGGCCTCATCTGGAACGTTTTTTAATATAGAAAAAAAAAAGTTGTAATATTTATATTCTTAAATAAAACATTTCTCAAAAACAGATGTTGCTTTCACCTTATAGTCATGATAATTTACTACACATGAGTTTTATTATTTCATGAAACATTGCATGCAACTCATTTCATAAGTCATGATTTGGAGGCAAAATTGAGGCCACATTATATGAATGAAAGTGTCTTTGAATCCATCTTGAGCCTAATGTGTTGTTGGTAGGTTATTCTATTTATTTTTGTTAACAGTTAATATAGAGCTTAATTAATCTCGTATATATAACATCTTTCAGATAAGTTTTGAAGTAACTGTTTATTTTTGGTAGATCATATTATGAATTATTTTTTTATGCACCATTTGGTCTAGTTCCGTATCTAGATGCAAAAATCATGATGATCTTGATTTTATCACATCATAAAATCAATTCTTCCAATTCAATCAATGAGCAGTTAGTTATTGGCGTAGACTAAAATAGTAAATATCACATTTGTTAGCACAAAGAAATTAGTGCAGTGGCTTAGTAAAAATTCAATAAATTTGTATAACGAATTGTATACATATTTATAAAATATTGAAGTTTTATATTGATATTAAGAAAACTTTAATATCAGACATATAAGTTCTCTTAATATCAGTATAAAGCTAAAATCTTTCAAATCAGTGTAATTGAAACAAGGCAACATAGCAGTGTAAATATTTGTAAAGTTATTAAGTTGAGATTTGCTTTTGCTAGATCAGAAATTAAGTTAGCATGATTCAAGTTGAATATTCTAATACGATGAAGCTTAAGTTTACAGTATGAACCTTAGGTAAATATGTCGGTTCCTGAATATTATCATAGTAATACATTGAAATTATATTAGTGGATTACGGTTCTTGTGATTGTAGTATGTTCTTATTGAATTAATTTTCATCTAGTTTAACCTTAGTTACTAGTTTTTTTTTTTACATATGTCACTTTCTATTTGATCATGTTTCTTTCCATATCATAAATTAAGTTTATACTCATTGTATGCACAAAGTTGCTCCATTAATGCACCTAATTATTCTGTAGTCAGTTCATGTTGCTAATATTTGATTAATTCATTCCTTCAATCACTGAAGAATTCTCTAAGTTCTGGTGAAAGCGTATAAAAGAATTAAGTTAGAATTATTGTTTTTAGTCTAAAATATTTTAAAGTGTGTAGTTTTTCGTTCATTTCGCTTCAGCACCAAATACTGTATCATAAATGTATGTCTATGCATCATTAATTATTAGATATTTCATTAACTCATCAACTACTTGCTAAGATGAAAAATGTTTACGAGCGTTCTGTAGTGATTACAGAATGCAGTTGGTAGCAATATTTTCGTGTCAAAAAATAGTGCTTTATATTGTCATTAAAAATTTGTTTTTAGTTGAATAATCTGGTTCTATGTTTTTTCAGTTTTCACTGCTACTAAAAATTGACGTTTCCGCGGGTTGACAAATTGTTGAATTGTGCGGGTTACTTTGATTCGATCTTCTCATTTAGTTTCATATTCTGCTGAATATTATTTTCTTGATCAATGCAGGTAAATAATTAAATTTCTTTCTGTCAACATTAAAATTAGCAAGTTTGCATTTTAAGACTGTAGCTAGCTAATTGAAGCTTTTTTCTTCAAAAATTCAAAAAATGAATGAGCTAGTTTATATTCATGATCTAACTCGGATGCAGAGTACTATTTTATAGTCCTAAGTTTTGAAATTATTTCCATTTCTGTCAATGACAGTTGTCACTGTTGCATAAAATTTGGTGAAAATATTTCATGTACTAATTTTGATTAATTGCAGTCAGACGATCCACCGTTTTTAGATGTTGGCACAGAAGTTAGCGCCAAATTTAAAGGTGCATTTTGTGAGGCAAAAATAAAACGTATTACTAAATCAGTTAGATGTAAGGTATGACTTATTTAATATTTTGTTTTTAAATTCATCATACATTAGTGGTGATCCTTTGCTTTTTTCCTCTTTGTTTGAAGGCAAAAGGTATTATTACTCTATAAATGCTATATTCCAAGTACATCTTTTTCACTGCAAACAAGCTTTACTACGAAGGTAATGCAATAACCAGGGCAATTTTCTTCATTACTATTTTGTAATTATAACTCTAATAATAAGGAATGATCACAGCCGTAATACGTAAAAAGTGTGGAAAAGCATTTGTAGGTCTTGTTGAAAACGCCTCCATTTGGTACTATATTCGCTGATCATACCGAAATAACAGGTCCTTTGGAATTAAATGAACGAGTAGAAGTTACTCAAGGAAAAATGATGTGCAAAGGCATAATACAGAATATAAAAGATAACAGTGTTTATATTGTTGGTATGTTTTATCTATTTTTCGGTTAAGAATGTAGTCTTATTAAATGAAAAAGTGTCCACTTAACTTTTGACATAAATCAATAAAATGGTAAAATTAGATTACGAAGCTAAAGATATCATTGTTTAAATAAGTTATAGTTTTTAATGATGGCGATGAACGACAACTGCGACGTACACAGATTCGTATCAAGGGGGGAAAACATTATGAAGAAGGTGTAAGTTTAGATTCTATGCCGCTGTGGAAACCAGAAACATTCACTGACCCGGTAGTGCTTGAACACCGAAAACGCAAGCAAAAGAGGTATTTTTGGTTAATTATTAATATGCTAAAAGTTCTAGATTAGAATGGAGGGTGAGAGGGGAAGAATGAATTTGAGACAGCAGAAACCAGAATGATTGATTATTGATTTCGGAGGTTACATAATTGAATCTAATTATGTAGATGGATGCAGATATTAAATATTAACAAATAGAGGGATAAATAGTATGATAACAGTATTATCAAGAAAGGGATAAAGTGAATTGGTAAGAAGATCTGACTGATAATAATGAATAACAAGGAGGCCAAAAAATTTTTAGTGGAGAAGGTGAATTTGAACGAGTTGCTCTTCGATCATCTTGTCTCTCCATTCTCTCGACTATATTCAAGTCAAGGTCGTTAGCCATTAGTATTGAGGAGTTAAGAAGTTGTCGGGTAGAAGATATTCGGGCGTCTCACATTTTTCTCGTCCATCTGTTGCTGTCGTACTACTTATTACTCATTTTCACTTCTCACTACTATTTCAGCTATCAAACAAAATGGAATAATAGTAGAATATTATGTATATATACATGACTAAATAGTATTCTAACAGTCTTAAAAGATAGGAGTGCAATGAATTGATAAAGAGATGTATATGTAGATATCGATTCATCACTTATTCATCTGTGTATTAATCAGTAATCGCAATATGGTCTGAAACCTTCCACTCATCCATCTTTCACATTCTCCATTCTCATTTAGTACAAAGGTGAGGAGACATTGAGGACAGTTCCACTCTTCAAATGATTGATTTAAAATACAATAGCTCATATTTTTTCACGATTATTGTAAACACTTACAGAACAGTGTACTAATCGCATAACTATTCTCCTTACTGATCAAGATTGAATGAATTGTCATTTTAATATATTAAATTCATTATTACCATACCTTATTACTTTACTCCATGAGTGTTTTGCACTGCCTCATACTGTATTTACAGTAATCAGGATTCACTATTTCTATTCCGGAATAGTCATTTTCATTATTCTCATCCTTTTCGCATCACTCTCCTTTCATCTCTTTACAGCAGTTGTGAACTCTTCGTTTCTCCACTTTGTCTCTGTCTATGTGGGCATACTGTAGTGCCTTTAGTTAGCAATGTCTGCACTCGTGACTTTTGGCAACAATAGCAGGGTAAAGTGTGTGGTGGTAGTAGTGCGCTTGTTTCGCTTGTACTCACTACCTCAAACTTTTTTAATTTGATTTTTAGTCTAAATTGAGAAGTTATGATTGCATTATTAGAAAGTCATGTTTTTATCTCGAATTATTTTTAACTTTTCCTTCTTTCTTTTTTCGCCATCTTCTCACGTGAGCAGCGTCAGTAATTTTATTGAAGAAAGTAGAGTTGAGATTTGATTGCGAATGATGTCACTCTTCCCCTACTCTCAAGAAAAAAATAATTTTACTAAATTGTATCAACTGTGCACTATATCCGCTAGCATGCTAACACACCCTAGGAGTTTTGTAAATAAATTTTACGCACAGGCAACAATGGGAACGATTTAAACGGAAACAGCAACAACAACAGCCAGTAACGACGACAAGCTCTGATGCTGCTACTGTTGCTGTTGATGATGACTATGATTATGATGATGATAAGGATGACCAAGAGTATAAATATGATGATGACGATGACGTTGATGATGTCACATCCAACGATGATTCCACGCTTGAGAATACTTCTACCATGTTATCTGTGAGCAGTAATTGTACAGTTGATCGTCTCAAAACTTCAACCAGTTCTTTGTATTCTTCACGCACGCTCCGTAATCGTCCTGTAACAAATAAGTCAACTCGTCAGCGTACGCGCATCGTATACACAGTTTGTTCAACACATAGACCAAATGATTTTGATCAACAAGATACCGATATTGGTAGCGATACTGGAGATAATAATGATGGTGATGATGATAGCAGCAGCGAGGACGCCTTAAATTTACAACACTTTAAGCAGTCATCGAAGCCAACTAATTCACGCATGAATGCCGACCACGTTTATAAAAAATCAGTTGCACGAACACGTGAGAAGCGTTACGCTGCGGAGGTTGCTACGGATGCGTTGAAACGTATTAATGATTCAAGTAGCAGTGATGATAAGTGTGGGTTGGGAGATGACGGTATTGATAATAATAATAAGGAAGATGAAAGTGATGAAATTTTTGATGATGGTTGTTACGGTGATATTAATTGTGGTGGTGGTGGTTATAATAATGATAATGAGGGTGGCGGTGCACATAAAATCAGGGGAAGAACATATGCCAGAAAAAAGCATTGCAGTACTGATGATGATAATGATGATGATGATAATGATGATAGATGCTATGCAAGTTATGAAGGGATGGATGTAGAAAGTGGTAGTAACACAGGTCGTAGAGGTGAACGAAGACGACGATTGGATGAGGAAGAATCAGGGCCCTCAAAAAAACGGTCGAAACATTTTGATGATATAAAGAAGGTTAGATATCTTGTTTCTTTACTTTCCTCTGCAGTGTTTTTATATTGTGCTTTGAAATCTTAATCAATAAATATTGCATCGTAATAATGTTTGTGGGGCACTTTGAGCACAGTTAATTAGTCTTTTTCTAGATTCATAAAGTTGGCAGTGTTGTGGCTGTGTATGAAGATACACTGCGTAAAGGTAAATGGACACCAGCAGTTGTTGTTGCAAAAGCAGCATTCAAAAGTGGTGCGAAAAGTGCTGTAAGTATGGGCAAAAAAGACGTTTTGTTGAAAAGTTTCAAAGATGGAAAATAGTAAGTACTAGTAGTGAAAAAAACTGTTGCTTAACCTTTTGTGCGATTGAATGGAAAGCTATATAAATACAATATAGTTCTAGCTTAGCATCTGCTTGTTCTTAGACTTGTTAATTATAGTTTGTGAGCAGTCCTTGCATTGTAGCAAATTTTAACATTTATTGGAACTTGAATGAAAATATTTTGAGACATTCGAAATAGTTAATTTCGTCTCGACGAAATGAAGGATTAGTTTTGGTTAAAAACTTTAGTTTGTAACGCACAGTCTTTTATCCTGTCTAATTTTCGTTCTTTTGTTTTCATAAAGAATTTAAATTATTATCTTTTTTCAGTTTTATTTCTTCGATGAATAAATTATCTTCCTTCAATGCTTCGGCTCTCAAGTTGCCTGATCCATCATCTAAAGTAGCTCTTGAGCGAGCTGTTGCATTTGCTGAAAAAGGTATGTACATCACTAATCAGGTATATATCTTTCTGTTCTTAGCTTGTAATCTTATGTTAACTGGAGAAATTTTTTCAGAGATTTATCCATCAGGTTGGGACAGAATGCAAATTTATGATGACATACGGTCTGGAAAAAGTGAAATAAGTTCATCTTCAAATGAAATCGGAAAACATTCCAAACCATCAGGAAAAATGAAGCGGAAAAAAGCAAAAGGGTATGTTTATAGTATTTTCTATTTTCAAATTTGAAGTCTTGATTCCTCTGTGTAAAGTGAATATTTTTGTAGTTCTGATCGCAGTAGTTCTTCGGAAGAGGAAAGTAGTAGTGATGAAGAATATGGTGAAGAAAGAGATCAATTCATTGCTCAGTTATATAAATTTCATGAGGAAAGAGGTTACAAAAGTTTCAGAAATATCAAGTGAATGAAAATAAAGTATTTTAGTACCTTTTTTGTACTTTCGAAGGGGTTTCTTTTAAGCTACGGTAAGGAAGTATAGGATGCAAACTTACATTTGAGCGAAGTGGAAAATTTTCAGGCACTCCAATAAATCGGGCTCCAATACTTGGAGGGAAAGACATCGATATGTTTCGGTTATATAATGTAGTTCAGCGATTTGGAGGTAAAAAGCGAGTGACTGAGAACAATCAGTGGAAATTAGTTCTGCGAAAAATGCATTTGGAAGGATGTCCTGGGGCAACTTCAGTTACTGTCAAAAATGCCTATTCAAGGTGAGGTATTTTTTGAAATCCTCAGAACAGTGAATGAAAATAAAATATTGTAGTATCTTTTTCGTATTTCCAAAATAATTTGCTTCTTTTGACCCATAAAAGTATATGTTACAAGCTCTCTGTCATTGAATATTAATTTCGATATTTTCAGTCTATTTTTTCATTGTTTGATCAAATTTTATTTTTTTAGTTTTTCATATTTACGCATATTGATCGTTAATTTTACAGATATTTGGATCATTTCAATTCATTCTTTCGGAATTTGGGTATATCAAGTTGGCTCACCACTCCAACATCATCCATTTCCAGTCGCAGTGGACGCCCAAGTCGTTTATTGGACCGTCATAATGCACAAGTTCAGCATATTCTGGCACTATTTAGTCTTTTGCGTAATTTTTTGCATGTAATCTTTACGAATTTGATAATTATAGAGAAAATGGAGTCTATCTGTAACCAAAAAAAAAGAAAAAGAAGTTTCGAAAGGGAAAGCATCGAAAAGAGAAAAAGAAGATAGTTTATATCGAGGAAGAAAAGGAAAGGCTAAGAAGGTAGGGTCAGTTCGGAAATATGACATGAGTGAAGATGATGATAAAGTCAAAACGTAAGTTATTGATGATTTCATTACTTTTATTGCGTGTCGATTTTTTCTTGTATTTTATGGCCGAAAAACAATGTCGGGGAATGATTTTAGAATTAAGTCAGAATTTGAATAACCAATAGTGAAGTGAGATTGTGAGTAATTTGTTTTTACTGGCCTGGACAAGCAAAAGCCATGTACTAATTGCATTCTGTTTTTAGTACGCTGTACTCTTCATCAAATAGTTCAACATCATTGCCTTCTTCGCCACCAGTGAGCAAAATGAGATCAAAAACAAATAATGGAGATAGTCAAGATAAAGAAAGCTTGAGTGACAGTGCAACAATCGAAAGTGCTAAGGAAAAGGAATCTTATAAAGTAAAGTCACGTGGGCCGAAAAAAAAGAGAAAAGATGAGATTAGGTCAGCACATTCATTTTAAATACCTGTAGCAAATTTTCTGAGTTATCTTACATCAGCTATGATTACAGTTTGTTTTAGACATGAAAAAGAATGGTCAAGTTCCACTGTTTTTGATGTTGGAAAGCGAGTCAGAACATCGAAGGCAAGTTTCGAGTTATAAGATTTTGTCATTCATTTTCTCGTTTTTATCATTTTCACTTCAAAATTCTAGATCAATAAATCAGAAAAGAAGGGTTTTGAAGAGAGACGGAAGAAGCGAAATTCCCCTAGCACTTTATCTACTTCTTCAAATGTTGATCATGGACTCAGCAGGAGCGATGATGAAGGTCTAGTAGTTGTTTAGTAGCTGTTTATATTGTGATTTGGTGCTTATTTTTTTTGTGAGTGATTTTGTTTCCAAAAAGAAATTATTGCAAGGTTTCTCTTTCGGGTTCTAAAATATGGTGTTCTTGCAGGAAATTTTAATTCTTCAGAGCTCTACGAAAAAGAATGCTTAAAAGAAACTCGAAAGTATTCCGAAGGAGGTAGTTGTCCTGTCAACCAGAAAGAGCTGGTGACAGTCAGAGGTGAAAAGAGCTCTCTAGCGAAAGATTCGGATTATCCTCATGTATCTAAGAAAGAAAAGAGTAGAGAAGCAATAGTTACATGGGTCAGTTGCTGTTCAGCCACCGTGTAGGTTTAGCATTTTTAAGTAACTTATATTTTATGTATTAATATAAAGAACTCAGTCAATTCTACTAACTGATGAATGGGTTAACATATTCGTGATTTTTTTGTAGCTTGACGAGTTTCTATATGGGGCAAAATGTAAAGGCATATCATTGTGGGCAGTGGTACGATGCACGAGTGATTACACTCGGCAAAGTTTTCCACAATGATGTGTTGTTATCAATGATGGATTTTGAAGCCAGGTAATACCTTCAGTGTTTGTTTTAGACACTAACATGAAAAGTACTTCAAACATATAGCGATGTCGAACAAAATGGAAAATTTAGTTACTCTCTTGTTTACTTTTTAAACTAGTGAACTTTAAGATGCAAGGCTATTAGTGAATCAACAGACTTTGAAGAAAATGACCGGAAAGGAGCATTGGCATCAGCATCAGAAAGATTGAATGGTCGATTGGAAAGAATCATGCGTGATATGACATGTTGTGTTCATTATCTTGGATGGAATTCTCGTTATGACGAATGGGTCGAATTAATTAAAATTAAAGTTCATAAGAAAGTTAGTGCTTGCATTTTTTAAATTTCAGTCAGAAAATTTTTTGTCTCCAGTACTATTGATCACTGAATTACATTTATTCTTAAAATTTTCCTGGATTCCACACGTTTTTTTTAAAGGATCAAAATGTATCAGAAAATCAGTTCATTTCAATGGCATCGGGTAAATTGAGTAAAGCAACCATCGAAGCAGCCGTAGCATGGCGCTCTGCGGTCGATCCGGTAAAGTATTTAGCTAACGAGGCCAGCAGTAGTGGATTGCGGTTAGTTTGTTTTTTATTTTTTATTCTGTTTTTCGTTAGAGAATTGAACACAGATGTAGTTTAATTTTTGATCAGTCATTATTTTTATTGGCTCAAATCCAAATTAGCATAATATATTTAACACTCGCATTGTTTCGTTTTTGTAAAATAATATTTACGAAGGTCATAGTTAACACTCAAAAAGAAGAAAATAAATTGGATTTATCTTATTAGAGGTGTGAATCATGGCTGGATGAATATTACTACCTTTTTTCTTCCAGATTAGCGAAAAAATATTGTTCTTGTCAAGCTTCAAATCTTTGTGAAATCGGCTTGAAATAGTTATTCTTTTAAATTTTTTAGTTATTCTTGAAGTTGATTTTTTGTTTCATGTCTATATGTAGATAACATTATTCTTTCTAGGCCTCGGAGATTATCACATTCACACGAACACGCTACACAGTCGGAAGCTCGTTCAAAATCCACTACATTTTCTGAAAAAAAAGTCAAAAAGGTATAATAATTTTTGTCGAATGATGCTATTTTGTACTTAAAAGTGTCATCAAAAGTCATCATATTTTTAGAATTTGCAACTGTCATAATCAATCGAAACTTTATTCATTTTCAGCAAAAATTTCTGTCAACAGCCTCAGCTGAACCAGCTATAATTAAAATACCTGACAGTTCTGTAATTTCGAGCGCTTCATATTATGACAGCTGTAATTTAGTTGAGTCAAATGCAGAGATTTCGGTATGCTGCTTTGTTTGAATTGTCTATATTTTACTTGCAATTTCAGAAACAAGAGACGAAAGCTAAAATAATATGAAAAATAATGTAATATTAATACAGTGTTCTAATGTTTCAGCTAAGTCGCTCACCAGAGGAGGCTTCAGTTTCTGAAGTACCATTAAAATTTTCACTCGTTAGGGAAACTGTATCAATTCGCATACTTCTTGGTAATAAGCCAGAAGTTGGCTCTGAAGCACAAGTTAGCTTTTTATTGCTTAGTTTCAGTTCTAATTCTATTACTGATTCTCAGAAAATACTAACTTGATTTTTAGATGACTGTTCTTGAAGTAAAGTCAAGTGGAGAGAGCCGTGGAGCAGTTTCTGATTCTGGTCTCATTGCCGAGACCATGTCAAGTGAAACATCATTAAACGTTAAAGCTACAGTTCTTGAAACTGAAATGTGTATGCGTTTATATAGTGCTTTTCATGGTTTAAAATACATCATTCAGAATAAAAAACATCGAATAGTGATTCGAACTCTGCTTCATTATTTATTTATTTCACACGATCACTGATTCCTTATATTGCTTTTTTTCAGCTGATAATGCTGGACCTAGTTATGCATCTCCGGTTAGTGAGATGTCTGGAAGTAAAAAAGTTGATTACGAAGAGGTGACAGGTTTCGAAATTGAGTGTAGAGCATCAGCTGTCGAAACAGGTGTTATTTACTTTACTGCTACAGTAGCTGAAGTTACATACAAGCACCTATTTTTCATATGATGTGTATAATGCTTTTATTTACTTTGCGGAAGATAAATTTTCTGAAAATTTTTAGTCCACAGCGTTGATGTGCCTTGTAGCAGTAAGATGGTGACATTCGAAACATTCGAAGCAGAAAAACGGAAAAAACATCAGGTAGCTAGAATAATAAATGCTTAAGTAATCTATTTTTTTGTCACGAACAAATTGATAATGTAATAATCCAGTTCCTGCAGGCTGATATGATATTTTCTCCTACAGAAGGATAGTAATCATTCTGATTTTGTAGCTTAAAGTTGTTTCCCACAATGGAACAAAATTTCGCATGTGTTGATTTACAGGGTTATGAAATCTAATAATGTATCTTGTTGAAATTTCCGTATCGTTCATGGAGATTTATTATTTAGGATGAGAGTGTTGATAGTTTAACAAAGTTATCGGACAAGGATGAAATTAATTTGGAACCAGATATGAACAATGAACGGAAAGAAATAATAACGACACAGTGTATGAGTCATTTCAATTTTTTCTAGATATAAATTCGTTTTTGTTTACCTATATATATTATATATGCTTTCAGTTACTAAATCGACTTTTTTATGGCTTTGTTTTAGCGTCTATGGAAGATTCAGGAAAGGTGGACGATAAGAGTGTCTTGCTCAGACCGGAAGCACCTTCAAAGGAATGTGATAAAGAGGGTAGGCATTCATACGATTTCACCATTTTATTTTCATATTACCATCACTTTAAATGAAAGTTTCGAAATTTACAACTTTCATAAGAAATTAATTATGTACTTTTTGCATTTATTAGAATTTGATGCATAATTTTGTAGCCTGGCAGCTACCAATGCCTTCGGGAATAAGGCAACGAGGTCGTGGAATGAAAAAGAGAAAGGCTGGTAGAGGTACGTATGGAATGGCGAGAGGTGCCGGAAAAGGGTCGAAGAAAGGGAATAGCGAGGAACAAAGCAAAGGAAGTGAAGAATGTTCGTCGAGTGAAGACGAATGTAACTTTTACATTGCTCGAATTGCTTCAGTATACTGTTCTCTAAGCAAGGATTAATGTTCTGATTGGTTCGGAGAGTATTAATTTTATTGAATTGCCTTTTCACATCTTGTTTTTTAGGTCTACTGAATGTGAGAGACAGCTGGCACGCCTTAAAACAACGAATGTCACAGAAAGTAGACTCAGAAGGACTTATGGCATATGCTGAAAGAGAATTAAACTTAGAACCAATTGGTTTGGTATTGATTGGATATTTAAAGCAAAATCATTAAAATCCTGTTTAGAATTGATAGCTTTCCTTTTATTGCTGTGTCTTCTTGAATTATGTATAGGCCACTCTGAAGCATTCAGCACCAGAGTAGTTTTCCATTGTAGATGATAATTTACCTGGTGATGTGTTGATTGCGAAACATCAAGAGCGTATGCAGCAATTAAGGGACATCTATCACAATATACGTTTGGAACAGGCACGTTTGGATCGTAGATGGAAAAAAACATTGGAAAAAAGAAGTAAGCTACTGATAATATTGATAGTCAAACAGCTGTTTGGTTGTTGAAATGATTGTTTGGTTAAATGAGTATCGTTGGTATTCATTCTAGAAAAAAGCCGCAAGAAGTCGTCTCAGTGAAAATAGTGGAAAAGTGTTTTATATGAAATGTGGTATGGCTTGCCACTTATTTTTGGAACAGTTGTCGGAACTGTACTTCATGAATTGCCTTTGAGGTTCTATTTACTGTAATAAGTTCATTCTCAGAACAGCGTGAAAAGGAACGCAAGAAAAAAGACGAGCATTCAGTTCAGTCACCACCAGATGATGTACAAAATTACTAGTCTTCCATTTTTTTTTGTTTTTATTTATACTGAATATGTAAACAAATTGGACATACTGACCTTTTCTGTGTGTATTTTTAATGAGAGGATACTTATGATTGTTGATTATTACTAACTGAAACGCAGAATCTCACGAATTAGAAATTCTTGAATCTGTTTATTAGCATTGACAATAAAAACTTGTAAACGATTTTATAGTTGGAATTTATGTTCCTCACAATAACATCTCAACAATCCGGTTCCTGACATCACTAAACTTCGAATGAAAGCAACAGATAAACTTGCGTATCACAATAGCTTGAGCATTGTTGTCCTGTAAAATACATTTGCCAGAAAAAGGGTTGTCATACATTGCTTCAGCGCCTTTATTTCCTTGACGACGGGAATCAGCATGCATACTAGCCTTCAACTAGAAATAAATGTTACTGGTAATAACTATCTACGATAAGGAGTGACATCAATGCATTTCATTGTTTTGGATTTTATTCTCGAGATGCTGTTTTGAAACAGTTGTCAGAACTTTGTGTTCGAAAAATGGTGAGCGATTACCGGTAAGGCATGTGAAAGCAAAGTCCAATGATATGGATGGTCAACGCTTGCACATAATAAGATTGCATTTCGTAAATATTCGGTACTATTTGTTCCAGTAGCTAAATACACCTGGAAAGTCAATGTCATGAGGTCTGCTGTTTCATTTCTGGGCAAGAGTAGTGAGAAGTGTCTTACATGAAGGCTTAGTGTCCAGTATTGTAACTGCTCACCATAAGTAGAGACTAACTTATTCAGTTTTTCTAGCCACGCCAATAGCTGTGGGCCATTAATCGGAGAAAGCTGAAAATTACCATTAATTCTGTACCACATATGCAGTTATAAGAAACTGAAAAAGATTATAGACGCACTTTTAAGCCACATCGAATAAGTGAATCAGTAACAGCAAAATCACCAGTCCTTAGTGTTTCATTTTCTGACATCTTGAGATAAATCTGGAAGTATAAATTTTGTAGAACAAGTGGCCTCTTTTTCATGCACTTAAATACTTGTATTAATTTAATGCTTTTGACTAAGTAGATACAGGTTTTACTAATATTCAAATACTTTTTTAATATTTACATTACAAGAATAAGATGCGCATCATACTGAGAAATGTACTAAATATTACTTAGCTCATATCTATTTTACAGAAATAACATACATCCATTGCTGTGATGTAATCACCGCGAAAATAAGCAAGAACTGCTTGATTCTGAAAGATTTCTTGAGTTCTTCTAACATCGAGATTATCAAGATCCTAGAAAAAAATGTCTTGATATGTAAAGGGAGATAAAATTAAATTATCCCCAGTTTAAACAAAAATTTGAGTTAAGAAAATGAATATGAAGTTGATAAATTTTCCAACTAACCAAATTTTTACTTGAAAACCATTCGGCAGATTGGTCGAAAGGCACATAAAGACTAGGGTTCAAAAATGTTATATTACAACGATCAGAAGATTCCACATCACGATTATCACCTGAATCGATAGTAAATTCAGAAAATAGTTCCAAAAGCATTGCTTTGTTTCAAAGTTCTCCTGTAAAATCATACATATAAACGAAAATATCATACACTGCGGTCGTTTCTCAATTGTTCACAACCATGTACTTTAATTAATTTAAAGTTTTATAATTGGAATGTTGCAAAGTTGGAAAGCGCAAGAAAAGGTAGTGGAAAATATTTTAGTAAAATTTGAAGCATGCTACATGAAGCAGTTTAAAAAAATTACTCGTGAAGGACTACTACCGGTTAACAGAATACACTTAATGTTTGTCGTTGGAATCCTTTTTCTTACTGTATGCTAGCATGCATTCCCTTAACAATCGTAGCTGAAATACAACAAGATTCAAAGTAAAATAATATACATAGGTCAACAATGACTGTAATAAAGTTCATTTTTACCAGAAATAATTTGACACCTCACAGCTAATCATTAGAAACGTTCACAGTACGGTACTATAACTCATTTTATACCAAATTTTTTCGATTTATAATCTAAAATGTATTTCAACATTATGCTTAAAAAAAAGCAACTATTGCAATTGTTTTATATGTTTAAGTCATACCACTTGAATGTGAAATAATTCATCATGCCCTAATCCCACGTGAGTGATAACGTGTTGCATGAAACCTATCTCATGAGACACGTCTTACAAAGAACGAAACATGTAATACGTCAACAATACATGACATATAAGGGAATATAACATCCAAAACATGTAATATAAAATAAAAAATTTACTTCTTCCTGACACTCTCGCCAGTCTTTCGTATCAGCCATACATTCAGCACAGGCTAAATGCTGCTTCCAACAACCGGTCTTCCGAATAGAACGTTCAATGAGATCGTATTCTTTTTCCTGTTTCTCAGCGTTCATACAGCAAAGCAACGACACTGTAAAGTGAAATTACAGTCCGCTCAAAATGTAGTTCTGATAGAAAATATGATCAAAAATCTGTGATCAAAAGTTACAAAAACACAAGTCTAAAATTACTACACGTATATTTTCTCCATACTCAATACACGTATGTACTGTACATAAAATATGATCAAAATTTTCATCCCTATATACAAAATATAGCACATCTCAGATAATATACAACGAGAATACAGTACAACCGTAAAATCAAATTTTTTGCATGTACTCGTTGATGTGGATGTTCTATTGCATTATGGAAATGCGTTTAAAGCTGTGAAAAATTGAAGTAAGAAGAACTTCCGAATCTTTTCGCCGCGCATTTCAATTGCAGTTAATTGTGCTGGTGGTTTTGGTCTGCACAGGTTTTTTCGGACTTTTTCATAAATTAATTTGCATTATCGATTGATTTTTAAGCTTAATAATTTACGCTACTTCTATTTTAATAATTCATGAAAGAAAAAATAATATTTTATCAGAATTAATAGAATCCATATCTGCTTTTAGCATATTTGAATTTGTTTTGATTATTTTGTGTGTATTGATTGAAAAATTTATGGTATAATTTTGGAATTCATTTTTTTGTGTTGTATTTATTGATTCATTTTAGTGCTAAAGATATCGCATTCAAAATATTAGCAGTATTATGATTAAAAAATTTGTTGCTATTCCTCGGAGATAATAGATCTTGCTTGTGGTGTTTAAATTCTTTGTGTTTTTGTTTGCAGTTGTGGTAGTTTTTTGATTATTGCATTTATTGACAATTAACTATGGATATGTCATGGGCTGACAGTGAAGCTTCAAGTTCGAAACTGAACGAACCTTTATCAGTAACTATTGCATCTACGTCATTAATTGCTGATGAGACTAGCAATGAATCAACCAAAATGTCTGCACCAGTTGTTGATTCAGAAGTAATTTCGGATTCGCCAAGTACAAAGTCTGGTTAGCATTATTTTCACAGCATAAATATGTTTCATATACAGTAATTTTGCTAAATCACCAAAGTTCATCATAATTTCTGTTTAACATTAGGTAAAGAAGTACATAATAGGCATACAAGTTTTTTGGTTTTTGTCAGTAGACATGAATACTAACTTCTCGACCACTGCAGTTTTTTTCATCAATTTAGAGACCCTTATTCTCAGTGCAGTGATCTCCAAAAGAATGTTACATAAATTACCAAATTATTTTCACCAATTTAATTAACTATATTGTAGTTTTTTCTGCTTAGATTCTTCATCATAAACAAAAATTTGCAGAATATATTATAATTTTCTCATCTAATTACCTGCGTACATAATAGGTAAAGAAGTTCGTTTAATTAGAAACTCGTCATCACGTGTAATAACAGCTGATACTACTCATATTCATATTGAACCGAGTAACGTCATTGAGTATGAGTGGCCTCCTAAATCTGGCGAACGCTATTTCATTCAGGTGGACCATAAATATTGTTTTCTTTGCTGAAAATTTTGACAATTAATGTTGACTTGCAATTAGTTTATTAAGTACAGTTGAGTGCCAAGAAAGTAGAGGAAAAAAAGTAAAATAAGTTGCGACTGAGTTCATTGTTAATTTTTTTTCAAATCTTTTGTTTTTCTTTTTTTGTGATAAACTGCTATGCTGTTAATATAGTTCTTCGACTTATTGTTGCACAGAACCGCGAAGTTTTGATATTAAGTTAGTTTATTGATTTTTTAACTAATTAAATTAATTAACCTATCAGAAATTTGGTAATTGACTTGTGAACAATTGATTTGCTTCTTTTGAATTATCCGATTTGTCTGCATTTCATTTTAATTTTCATCATTATAAAAGAAGCATGTGCAATAAATACTGAATACTGTTTTGTAGGAGCAAATTGCGGATCTTTTAGATGTCAAGTCATTCAAGAGGAAATATCCGGAACTTAGTCGACACACCGTTGAAATAAATGAAAGAGAATACTTAATAGCTAATTACAAACTTTCTAATGCTATAAATGAACATCGTGAGTATTTAACTAAAATACAGTTGCGTCCTTTCGGGCTCTTACAGCTTATCTTTTTCTATCTTTTACGTTGCATTATGAAACTATAATAATAAAAAAGTGACTGTAAAAGAAAGTGTGAATTCTTGTCTGACTCTTACTTTTCGAAGTACTATAAATAGGCCAGAAAAATTAGTTTCTAGAGATGTTGAGTTTTTTCATTCTCTGTGACAATGCTAATAATAATAATAATTTCACTGTTTTAGAAATGCATGGTTTAACCGCTTTAAGGGCAATCGAGGTTCATGAATTAATGGCTTCAGATTATCCAGTTATTTACTCGGCATGTGATGCAGAATATTATTTTTTATAAGTACTTTGGTAGTATAAGCATTAATTGTCTTGGGCATTTTCAAGTTTATTATCATTGTTATTTTTTTTTAATTCACAGGAGTACCAGAGAGCAGCTGCAGATAAAGTTAAATTACAGATGGCTGAAGATCAAAAACGATTAGATGCAGTATGTTTTGAAGTTAGCTTGATTATTAATTTTCAAGTTCTTTTCATTTAATTCAAAAAGTCGTGTAATTTCCGATAAAAATGGATACGAAAAAAATGGAGGAGCTTAGGATTAATGCAATAAGGAGTGCGTTTGAGTTCAATTCTGAAATGAACGCAATTAAGCGAAGGGAACGGCGCCATTTTTGGGACTTACAAACATCGGTAACTTTTGATGTGTAGTAAAATTGAGATTTCATCTGTAATAGGAATAGTATAATATTCTTCTTTAGATTATACAGTCACCAATGAATCGATGGAAGCGTATGGCTCCAGAACATACTCGACCGGGTCCTTATCCTGCTGCACTTATTCATGGTCAGTACCAGCATTTCTATAAAAGGTACCTTTCATTCATGTTTAACTCTGCTTTGTTCATAACATGAATTCTTCAAAGTTTAGTTTATATAAGTGAGTGTGATCTTGTGAAATTTTTTTCGTGAAATATCTGTTCAGTATGAAAATTATTTAGATTCACTCCATCTGAGTTGCGCCGACTACCGTTATCTACAGTAGTAGACTATGATTATCTTTTACCACCTAGACGACTTTCTTCACCATTACCTGTTGTTGTAAATGAAGAGGACATGGCTGTGGCATCAAATATTGAAAATGATGAAAGTTCTAATTTTGAAATGCAACCTTCTTTTTTATCATCATCGAACTACAGCAGTGGCGTTAGAGCAGTCAAGCTAGAAAAAGATCCTCAGGTTAGTCCTTTTGCAGTTTAAAATGTGACTTACATTTCTTTGCAGTCGTGCATCTCGTTCACTATGAAATGTACCTTTATGTGCTTAAATTTGTTTTTTGCATGTTCTCAAATGTGGATTGATTGCTTGTGTTTTAGATTGATCTATTCTCTTATTCTTAATTTGAAATTTGAAATTCATATCTATTTCTTAGTTTTGAATTGTTCGTCTATCTTCTAAAATAATTTAGATGTACTGGTTCAAAGGATCCACTCGTTTTGTCTTCGACAAGTGAAGTTCAAGAAAGTCATGCTTTCGAAATTTGAGTTTGAAATTTTTATAATGAAGAAGTCTTTTCTTGGTATGAATTTTTGGTGTCTGCTACATAAAGCCGCACAGAGTGTCTTTGATTTTGTGAATTATTTGGGACAATTTTAAATAATACTCTTTCCTGAAACTCTTCGATGTATTGAAGTAAACTGTTTCAGGTAATGTTTATGTCTGCCTTTTAATATTTGTCGTCGATCAGCATTTTTTGATCAGTCTTGGGTCATGGTCTTTTCTTTAAGTTTGAATTTTATCAGTGCATAAGATTTATGTATGCTCATGTAGATTACAGCTAAACATTTCTTTTAAATAATTGTCAAAAGATTGTTTCCTGCTAAAGTGTTTTAATTTTTAATAATATAATGTTTAATATTTTCCGAATTTTCGTCTTTTTTCTATCACCCTCACCATACTTTAAGTTTCTAACGCGGAAGTCTCGAATTTGATTTTGCATTTTCATCGATTTATGCAGAGATTATTCTATCTATTTGTTTTTAACTCAGTGTATTCATTTATTATAAATTAAATGTTTTAGAAAATACTATTCTTAGTAAGGTCAGCGCAAGTAGTTTCGTACATGTTTAATGCACAGTTCTTTCTACCATCGTTCATCAATTGATGAGATCTTTGTTGTTTGAATACTATCAGTATTTAGTTTTTAGTTAAAAACCTCTGTTCATTTGTATTTTATAAAAGTTAGTAATTGCATTTAGTGATTTTATTTCATTTTTTATTTTTGCTAGAATCATGTGTAGTAATAAGACTTTTTAGTTAGGAAATTAGTTTGGTTAAAAATAATTGTGAGTAAAAGAACATTTTAGCGCTCCTTAGACAATGATGAGATTTGAGAATTTTTAGTGTAAATTTATTTTTTACTGATATTTAAAGAAGAGCTGAAAGTTTTTACTGCTGCATTTCTATTCAGTATTTGCATTCCACTAGTTCTTTATATTTGAATTTTTCCAAAATGCCTTTCATCAAATATTCTGGTTATGTATATTACCTCATTTTTTGCTTTCTCAAATTTTCCTTTTTTAGATTCCTTTTGTAAATTTTTTTCCATCAGAACATAAAAATTTTCAGCAGTTTTTAAATTTAAAAGCAATTTATGTTATAAATTGAAAAAAGCTATAATAAAGTCTCATTTTTATTGGTTGCTTTCAAATTTCAGTTTTTCCTGCATGTTACTGATTCTCCTGTAAATAATATGATATTAGAATTCCCCTCTGCTATTGTCGTTTCATGCATCCCGTGTTGTCAGTTTTTAAAAGCTCAAATCTTAAAAATAGATGGCATAGTTCTCTAAATTCACTATAGGATATTATGTTTTTTGATTGCAGATTACAATTGTGTATTTAGAAAAGGAAATCCTTTTGAGAATGACAGATAATAGATCACAGGAAAAATTTTCTTTCTACAAAAATCATGTCAATAATAATGAAATAAAAATCACAAATAACGTATAAATAAAAATACAATGCGATAGAAATCACTATAGTGCTTAAAGGGATCTTTGTTTTTTTTAACGTGAGATTTTAAAATTGATTACATTGCCATTTCATAGCATCGTGAATCTTCCTTTAACATCATTTACAATACTTATTATAGGATCAAGTCAAAAAACAACAGTGTTCCATTTGTGATGAAGCAGATAAGCGTCAGATGTTATCTTGTTCCAACTGTCACAATACTGTGCATCCTGATTGTGCCAGTTTGCCGACCCATGTTGTTAAGGTCGCATTAAATTACAAATGGAACTGCATTGAATGCAAAAAATGTACAGTATGCGAAAAGCCGGATAATGAAGTAAGAATGATCATAACTGCTAATGACCACCGGTAATGATTCTAGTTTGTAGATTTATTACCTTATTTCTTGCTATGATGACATAAATTAGAAGTATACTCTTAGATGTTAATTTATGTTTTTTTTAATATAGGATGCAATGATGTTCTGTGATCGATGTGACCGTGGTTATCACACGTTCTGTGTAGGTTTAGCCACTCCACCAAATGGTAACTGGATTTGTTCTAGTTGTTGTGATGATGATGGCTTTTTGGCGATGGAAACCACTCACAGTTCTTGAAGGATATAAGTTGTATGTTGTCTTACGTAGAAAATTTTATTAACCTTGTGGAATCAAATGTTTTTGGTTTCAGTGGTTCTATTCTTCAGGAAATATTATTGCATAATTGTTGATAACTTGTGCAGTATATGTTTAGGAATAGTTTATTAGCAATGTGGAGTAGAGCGTATTGAGAAGAAAAGTGCTTTGCGCTTTTTTACTGTCGTTCAGAACAGAAATGTTGTGGTGGCACAGAATACTTGACAACGGGTTAATAATGATATCAAGCATTCGTATTTTTGGCGCGAAATATTCTGTATCCTCTTTCTATCAATGTGATGTGTGCAAGTTCGGCGATATGAAACGATCGAATGAGATGCATATTTGTAGAGTAATTGTTTTTTATGCTGTGAGATAGAAAATTTTTTCTGTACATCTGTGCAAGGGAACGCCGTCATCTTTTCTCTATTCCAGTTACGATGGAGATGAAAAAAGGAGGAAAACGATGCTGTTATTTTGATTGTTTTAAACGGTTTTTATTTCTTGGCATAATGAAAAAAGTTAAAGTTATGATTTTTTTTCTTTTAAAATGATTTTGTCATAGGCATGAGTAATAGTAACATACTGTATGCAGCAGTAATCGGTCATGTCCATCCTCGACACATTCAAAGTCATGTATTGATTTTGTAAGTTAATTTGTAATAATAAGACAGAATTGTTATCGTTTTAATTTACTTTGTTTAAATAATTTTTCTAAGATTTATATTTATTTTTAATTTTGTTGAAAATATGGATAGCAATGTATTCTTCTATTAATGAATAAAAGTACAAAATATTTGTACATTTTGAGTTATTTGCGATGTTGGTTGAGAAATGAGATGGAAGTTGACTCATTGCTATTAGGTCTTTTTCGTTAATGAAACAGATTTTTTCATTGCAGCGTAAGATTTGTTTTTTCAAACTTATTTTGGGTACCACAAGTTTTGTGTCACTGTCCTCTCTATTTCTGCACTGTTATTATCAATCGTCATTCATAATTTTTGTGTTGATGGTTGTTGTATTATTTATGCCTGTAGTTATTGAACAATGTATTTAGGTATCAAAACTTATCTGTATTTAGTGATTTACTACGTGGTTTTGTAATCATGAATATTGTACTTCATTCATTTATTATGTGAAATTAAACTTCAGTCCGTTGTTTTTGGTATAATTGTACATGCTTTTGTCAACGGATATTTATCATAATGTAGCTTAGTTTATTTCACTTTCTAATAATTGCAATCATATCTATAAATTAAGTTATGCTTTATACCTTGATGGGTTTTATGCTTATGATATTGTATAAGCAATTTACTACTTTGCAAAATCCACAATTAAAAGTTTCAAAAATAAAAGGCATAATGAAAGAGCATTTATTGGTTTTGCCTTATTACTCAAAATATTTTCATTTCATTATTGTTTGCTATAATACATGTGAAGTAGAATTTGTTGCAATTTTAAGTAATAGTTATTAATGGTTTAGGATTGAGGATTTGATATTAGAGGCGTTAATGAAGGGTTTAAATGTCAACGATTTCATCTAATGCTGATATCACAACCAAGTATCAACGTGTTGCTGCTGAATATGCAAAGGTTCTTGAATAATATAAGTTTTTTGCATTAACTTGATGAAGGCTAGTTAATATCTAGCTGCACTAGCATTGTATGTATCAATTTTTAAAATGCTTATCTAGTTTCTATTTTTCAAGCTAATATTTAGATTTTACCGCTAGTAAAATAGTATCAATTAAAATTTTTTTAAATCCTTAAGGAAATACGGAATTCAGGCAGCGTTATTTAATTATTCTTATACTCACAAGCTGATTTTCTTAGTGCTGCATACGGATATCCTAGTTTTTATAGACTGTTGGTGAATTTGAATATAAAGTATTCGATTACTTAGATCTTTTTCAGTTAAAAGTTCAAGTATCGGTTCTAAAAAATGCAGTTGTCGAAGAACGGGCTAAAAACGAAAAATTGTCGGTTAGCTCGATTTTCGTAATGATTCTTTATTTGTTTAAAAAAAAATGGTATGTTCAGTATTCAGAAAGATATTTTTTTGTACATTTTTCGATAACTAAATCATTCTGTTTTCAAGTTTTCTTGCATAGTACATCAGTCTTCGTCCTCATTTTTTTCTTTTATATTATTTTAATCTTTTATGTTTCGTAAACTCTCGCTTCAAGTGTGATATACTATTCATTTTTTATCTAACTGGTTTTATTTTTTGACAAAATTTATAAATGCTCATTAGTATATTTATTAGCATTTCATAAATCCATTGTATTCTTATTCTATATAAATCAGGCATGTTTTAAATTTGAACTTTACAACATTGTAAATTCTGTGGTTTTGTCGAAATTCTAATCTATTGAATTTTGTAAAATGTTTTGATATTTAGACAGATTTGCGAAACAGTGAATGGTCATTGAGGAAAGCTGAGAGTGAAAAAGAAGGATTTGAGTTTCGTAATAGTCAGTTAGTAAAACGGGTTGAATACCTTCAAAATGAAATTGAAAATGCGAAGCATACATCAGTAAGAAATAACAATATACTGTAAGATATGCAAATATTTTGTTAGATATACAATTATATAATGAAAAGTGGTACTAGCTTGCTTTCGTTGGTTGTTTTGTTTTAAGCAGTTCTTTGGGATGTTGTTAAAGTTTCAGAAACGTGGATCCTTGTTCCAAAAGATTTCACGGATAGAACGCTCAGCTATATCAGACTCTGAAATCGTCCAGCTAGAACTGCAAAAGAAATTAGAGGAAAATGAAATATTGCATAAAAAAGTTACATTACCTTTTTAGATGAAGATATCGCTCATTTTCAAAATTGAGTTTTAGTAATACTACTTTTCTTTAACTATGTAAGGTTACTTTAATGAAATTCACTATATTTTGTTGTTTCGACTCCACTCTTTTATTTAAATTTGCTCGGTCTTTCACAAAATATTGATTTAAAAAAAATTTGTTTTCTATGTTGACAAACTAAACAAAAAATCTTTTTTGGATTTTTATTATTAGGTTTCCGAACTGGAAAACGAATATACAGAAGCTACATCAGCTCTCAATGAACAGTATAGAAAGCTTGAAATTGAGAATACGAAGCTTAAAGAAGAACTGCAAAAAGTAAAAGCAAGTGCAGTTGTAAATGAGAAGTAAGTATAAGAGTTGTGATAAGTATTTAGTTAAAAGTGTGTGTTCTCCTTTTTTCACTCTTCTTTTTGCAGTTTTAGTCAGCTCATTAGCTGTAGCAGTAGACATCAATGTTTTGATAATTAATATTTGTTCAATATGATTTGCCTAAGCTTTTTGTAGAAAAATTGATCATTTTATGATTTCATAGGTTTTGACGATATCAACCACCTCCTTAAGCAATGTTTCTTGAAAGTTGCAATAGCCATTAGTGTAAGTAGAAAAAATCATATGTTCACAATTATAAAGTGGTTCGTATTCATAAATAACAATTTTTTGATAGTTATAAGTATATATTCAGGATAGGTGGAGAATCGGAATCAATGGCTGAAAATGGGGCATCAGTAAACATAATAGTTGCGACAGCAACTCAGAATTTGGTTAGTATGAATCCTTGTTAAACCGACAAACTGATAACTTGATTTGTCTACAATTCAATAAAACGATTCATTCACATGAAACGATCGATCATTGTTTCAAAACTGAATATGTCTAGATTTAATTATTTTGTAGAATATGATTGTTGAATAATATCATCTGTTCCGGAAAAAAATAAAATATTATTTGTAAGACTCTCTAGAATTCAAAATTTATTATTTCAGCAATGATCATTTTTAAGAGATTTCAGAATCACTTATTATTTGTTTATTTTATCAAGATTTTACCTGGAGATACGAAGACGGTTGTCACTGAAACATTGCATGTACTTTGGTTAGATGTATTACGCACTGCAAGGACATTAACGTCTGTATTTGCAAATTTACTGCAGCTATTTGAGCAACGATCAACCATTTATCCCACTGATATCAACATGGAAAAATTACCGGAGAGGACGCTTCTGGTAAGAAAGTCAAGGTAACTTAAAGTAGTTGCAGTATAATCAGCAATCAAACAATTTAACATACTTGTCGATAACAGTGAATCTAAAAGTACGTAATATTTAGTTATTGCTGTTAAACTGTTTGATTGGCTTTAAAGAAAGGAATAGTTTTTATTTCAATAATTGTTTTTAAAAATTAAAAGTTTCTCAAGGTGGGCATTCCTGAACATTTTACGTCCTTTCTATTTCTTTTAAACGATCATACGTCTTTGCAGTATTCTGAATTTTGCATTTTCAGTTCGGGCAGCAACTGCTATCGAGTGGTGATAAATTTGAAGCTTGTATGAGCACCATTGATACAATTTTAGTTAAGAACACTGATGATGATTGCCTTAATTTATCTCATGAATGCTCAAAAATAGCCTCAGTTTTTTCTAGTGCATTATCCTCTTGTCAGGTGAATTCTCTCAAAGGCATTCATGCTAGTGAAACTCAGCTCAATAATTTTTTTCTTTATTCACTTGCAAGTGTTCTATCGATTAAAGAAATTTTTGATATGCAGTAACAGCATTTTGAAACTTTGATCACTGATTAACATATTAAATTTTATACATTTAGTTCCGTATCACTGATACACCATAATAAAACATTTATTATCAAGCTTTTGACTCACTTTAATGTAGCCTCTTAAATTATCCATCAAATTGTCATTGTTGAAGTAATGAAAATTTTTTAGAAATCTGGCAATAAATTACTAACTGTTGAAGGAGTGGCAAGAGTTGTTCTGCGAAAGCACTGCTGATGAAAGTCGTCTATCTTGGTGTGGAACCAATTTGTTCAGGTGTAATGAAGATTGGACTGCTTCATTTCTTCAATTCCTCCAGGCTCTTAATGTTATCTCCTGGCAAATTGAACATTTTCATCAGTCTCCAATGGAAATTTTTGACCATATTCAAAAATTACCAGAGCTCTCTTCAGGTAGATATAAGTGTAGTGGTATTAGCATTATATATGTATGTATGTGTAATTCGCATTTTTTATTATTGTAAATTTATGTATTTAGACTGATCGATAAAGCTTTTCAGACATCAAACTTTCATGCTACATTTTTGCAGATTGTAGTCGTGCTTTTACGGCCAAAATTTTTGATGAAAATCGCATTCCAACAGCTACGAAGCGTTTACGTTGTGTCAATGACTGCATCAATAAATGTTTGATGTCACTGCATCGTAACTTGAACAGCTTTGTAGGACTGGTACAGTTAGTGATAAACTCATCAGATATTGAAGGGTATGTAATGATTTTGAAAATTAGTTGTGGAATGGGGTTGTTATTACCATATCTGAGACATGAAACTTTGGTTTCCAGGAAAAGTGCTCATCTGGCTGTAAAGAACTCAGACTTCTCTACTGCACTAGATTCTTCACTTTCAAGTACTAGTGTGACACAGGTTCCCAGCGCTAACTCTTATCAAGAGGCTAGTAAAGAAGTATGCTTTGTAACTTCACTGTTGAAATATTGGTAAATGTTGATAAACAAATAAAGATGTCCTATTTACAGCCTGAAATAAAGAACGCTATTGGTATGCGATCGTCTCATGATTTTTGGAAATTCGAAGTTGGTTACATTTCTCAACATCTTAAATTTTTTTATCTTTAATTTTAACTGAATTTGTGGACCTTCTGAGAGTATAAAGAAAGAAGATAACTCAATTTGCAAATACTTATCGTTGTTACAAGCTTTGCTATGAGGCGTCTAAAAATTTTCAATATTGAAAATAGATAAGCTATCCGAAATATGGAAATCTATCCGTTTTGCAGATAGAACAGGCTAGAAAGAGGATTGTTGAACTGGAGAAGCAAAAAGAAAGGATCATTATAGATCATGAACTTTTGAAAAGAAAGTTTGAATCAATAAAGTAACTTATTTTGAATTATCATATAATTGTGTGATGATTTCTATTTCTTATATTCTTAACATTTATTTTAGTCTCCATTTATTCATGTTTGTTATGAATTTAGAAAAGTTTTTTACTGCGTAAGAAAACTGCAATTATGTAGTGATTGAAGTTTTCTCTGCATTTTTTTAAAACAATTATGATATGATTATTTAGGCTATCGGAGGCAGGAAATGATACATCTGATTTGCCTATTAAAGATACGGATGTTATATGCTCTTACTTTGAAGAACGAATCGGAGAATTGCATGCAGACGTTGCGCATATCCGCAGTCGAGCCTTGTATTATAAGCATGAAGTGGATTATCACAATTTTGTTCTCTTTTAATAGTAAAATAGAAAATCATAGAAGAATCAGCTTCATTCAGCTAAAACATTATGAGAATTATTAATTTTTTTCAGTGCAAGGATCTTCTTACGTTAGTCAATATATCCAATGAAGAGAATGAATTACTGCGAAAAGATTTGAATGATGTAGTTGCTAGAGAGTCTGCTTTGAAGGTTATTGCATCATTTTACGCGGATATCTCTAGAAAATATTTGAAAATCTTAGTAAAAAATGGATTGTGCTCCTATAAATTTTTATATTTGCACATTTAGAATAAATTTCTCAGGAAGAATTGGAAATGACGCGAAAAAGTTATGAAGAGAAAATGCGGAGTTTACATGAACACATCGCTACTTTGAATGTACAATCTTTAGAAGAGCAGTCGAAAGTGTTAAATTCATTTAAAGATGCATCAAATGGTGTGAATACCACGAAGCAGGTAGTTATTAGCTGTTTTCTGAAAATACTTCTTACACAAAAAAAATATTAGCATTTAGAATTTTAATTTCTTAAGTATGTATTTTCTCAATTTGCTTCTAAAAATATATAATGTTTTTTAACATGATGAATGAATTACATCTTTTCAGAATTTTCGAAAACCGCTTCTCTCAAAAGGTGTACCTGATAATCAAAAATGAACAAACTTTATGTCTGTGCTTTCATTTTCAAAAGATAAGGTTATTTAGAATTTAAACGCTGTATTTTATGTTACAATGAAAATATTGTCTTCACATATCGAATTAATTTCAAGATTTCAAGGAATCAAGTTGTGAAAGTAGAAGCTAATTATCATATAGAAAAAGAGCACGCAGTTTTCATTATTCTTTATTTTCTTAACTTGTGTACTCTGTGTATGGTTGAGATAGAAAATGTAAAAATCATTTAGAATAAACTATCGTGGATTTTTTTTCATGTATTGTAGTTTATGATTTTCCATTGCATTTTTCTGCAGGTGTTGTGCTAGCTGTGGTTATTTGTCACATTTCTCATTAGGTAACGAATTTATTTACTTCTGCGGGTAAGATGACGGAAATTGTTTATAGTTTATTCATGTCCATAGTTCTTTCCATTTCTGAAGTTGTATCATCTTGGACAATAAAGATTGCAGTTTTCGAGTTCTTGTCCATCAAAATACTAAATTGTTCGTATCGTGCATAAACTGCTTCTTGAGGTTTTATAAATTTAAAATTATTCTATAATACCTAAGTAAATTCTTTTCCGAAAAATAGATTAGGACTTGAGGAATGTTTTATAAAGTTCTATAGTGCTGCAAAATAATAATTTTTGCAGTTTATAGTAGTTAATTTTTTGAAATCTTAAATTTGAGTTCACCGCCTTCTTATTAATTGTTTTGTATTCCTTTTTTTCCTTATAAAATTTTTAAAAAAAGTTGGATAATTTTGTTAGCACAAAGTGGGCAGTTTTCACTGTTTTATGCTCAGGTTGTTGCAGAACACCTATAGAATACAATTGTTAATCACCTTAATGAGGCTGAAATTCTTTTTTAAGATGTTTCCATCTTGAATTCTGAATGTTCGATTTATAAATAAATCTCATAAGTATTTCGATTTAGAACACTGGAGCAGCAATGCTCGGTATTAAGTTGGTAGGACATTGAAGTTATGGAAGACGAGCTTGAAGGAGTGGATTTGTATGATTTGAATATTTTGGATGATAACAAACCATTCGATGGCAGTGAAGATGAGTATTTTAGTAGTGGTGAGCCTGGCCCTAGTGGGTTACAAAGAGCTAAAAATTTTTCGCCGATTGGTAAAAGCTTAAATATTGTTTCTTACTATACCCCACAGTTTTTGAAGTTTTGAAGCATTCGTTCCTTTAAAGTTCAGGCAGTGAAAAAAAATTGCAAAAAAATTTTCGTCCTATGAAGGCCGCATATTTCCCTTTGTAAAGATTAAGGGCCATAAATTTGTTTCTTTTTGTGGAAAATTATGATCCTATCACCTTATTGGTTCTGAATAATAAGATACAGATTCTCATTCATGAAGCAATAATAGCATTTCAGCGCCACCAGAAGAAGTGATTCAAGAATTGGATATGTCTCATTTAGGAATAGATATTTTAAACGATAACGAAGAATTTGAAGCTAGTGAGAAATATTTTGATGGTGGTGAGTTTGTCCCTAATGAATTTCGAAGAGCTAGGAGTTCGACTCCTATTGCCATTTGCACTTGACATTATATAGCGCAAAAAAATTGTTTCTTAAACATTAGAATGCTCATCTTTATGCTGAAAGTATTTTCAGTAAAAATTAGAATGATTTTTTCTGCAGAAAATCGTATTTGCCATTAATGTCGTAGTTTTCATCTTTCGCAATACCATTTCATTTTAGCTCTAGAGGGAGAGGTGATTGGGGAATTGGATATATCTCATTTGGAATTAGATACATCAGGCAATACTGAAGCGTTTGAAGGCTATGAAGCTGCATATTTTGATAGTAATAAGCCCGGTCCTAGTGGATTACAAAGAACTAAAAGTATGCCGGCGACTGGTAAGCCAAGGGATTGTTATTTACCGTTTCATAACTTTCAAACATAACTTTTTACAGTTATTAAGAAGCTTGATTTGATGGATTTAGGGAAGTAGTAATTATCACTGATGTTAAGCAGTGCTCAAACTGTGATTACATATTTGGGAGGTAGGTCTTTTCACTTTTAAAGTTGGTTTAGGAAACTTTATACATTTGTATTTTTTTGTAAAGATAACAATTTTTCAGATCATAACAGTTTAGACGAGATTTTGGCAGAGATTGAAGAAACTAGTGTAGTACAAGGGGAAAATTCAAATGTGAGTTATTTTGATTTCTTTACAAAATTTTTCTCGCCAAGAATTCTAAATTAAGTTTGTTTGAACGGAAGGTTTTTAAGCGATTGTTTATTCAAGAGATTATTACTTTCAATTCTTTTTTACTTTCTATGTTTTAAAGTTTTAAATTTTTGTTTACATAGTGAAAAAAAAAATTGGCCACTACGTTTGGCGAATTTCACTATGTAAACAAAAATTAAGAAAGTTTCAGTAGTTAACATAGGAAACACATCTTTGATAAGAGCTTAAAGTATGAAAGGACTGTTTCCAAGTATTTTCAACTTGCGTTATAATCGTTTTTTCAAGAAACAAAATTTTTTTTGTTATAATTAAGACTATCTTTTTTGCACGAACTTTCCAAAAACACTGACGATGATAACCAAGATTTTTGATTATTTTATGTTAAGGAGGACAAACTTATTTAATGCCTTTATCTTATATATTAAATTAGCCGATTTCACTTTATTTTTTGACAACGTTTTCAAAATTGCAAAAAGTAAAGAATCTTGGTATGTTTACGCTTGGTATAAGATAGCAGATTTGTTTTTACAATAAATTCATGTTACATTTCAAGGGAAGGAAGCAGCACGAAAATTTATTTCAATTATTTCGGTAATATGAAAACTAAATTTTTAGAATCTTGATACAGAGGAAGATTTGCCAACTTTAGAACAAGTTAATTCTTTATTGGCGATCAATGAAGCATTTAAGGAAACTTTGGAAAATCTAGTTCGACGAGTTTCATTGGCAATTTCCAAAAATCGTGAATTGCAGGCAATTTTTGAGAGACTTTATTAAGCATTTCAGTTTCTTGGTGAGTTGTCATTTTCGAATTTTTTAGAAAATGTTGAGAGTTAAATTACGGCAATCAGACGAACCGACTTCTCGAGGCAAGATAAAGAAAGTGCCCATTTCGCGTTTTATCTATCCTTATTTTCGCGATTCCCATAATATGGTAATATTTTT